ACAGCGTTCGAACTTTCGAACAATGATGATGTTCAAATGATGGTTGAAGCTCAAAGTAATTATTCAGACGCCGCTATTGAGATGTATGCACATTTTGTTCAAGTGCGTGTTGTTCGAGGTCAATCTTTAAGCTCACACTATGGGCTGGCTGAACAAGTTGATCAAGTTGACAGTCCGACTACAATAATGTGTAATGATTTTAATGCCATAATGAGGAGACATTCATTCGCAACTCCTTACGATATGTACCGAGGTGGGTCTACGAACAATCCATATGGCAACACCGCGTCCAGTTTAAGGGGAAGGCATTCATCTGTAAATTTCTTTGACCATATGGAGATGTCATCGACGCAACCATCTGTGCAGTTTCCATTTGACACGATGGGGGTATTTATAGAGAGGATTGAAATGTGAGGGGTCGGGTATTTAGGGGTATAGCGCGCCCCCTGCACCGCGCTATACCTCACGTGTCAGATACGCAGGTATAATGCGAATCAGGGGACGCGCTATACCCACGTGGCGTCAAATCACCGTATGTCGCGGGGCAGGGGGCGCACTATACCCACGTGATGCCAAATCAACGTATAACGCGGTTCAAGGGGCGTGCTTTACTGCTACGGGTGTTAGATCAAAAAAATATAATCTAACCGGTGTTAGATCAATAAATATATCGATCATCAGTGATTTATTGGAAAAATTGCCAAAACGAGAGACAGTGAGAACTACTAATGTGACAAGGAAAGGTCCGTGGGCGGCTTCCTGCGGCTAATAGAGAAAATAACAGGAAAAAGCCATGAAAGAAAAAAGTGCTAATAATAATAAATTCTTTAAAACGTTCCTCTCATTATTTTATTTCAATAAATAAAATATGTCAGAGCGATCCTCTTAACTCACTTTGTTCCATTTATAAATGCTAGAGTTTAAATCTTTAATTTTACTTAAAGAATCTAATGTTTCATCACACTAGGCTAATTAGTTATTGGTATCATATTTATAATTAATATCTACAAAATTTCTTATTAATATTCACTATTTTTATGTGTTAAATGTAATTAATGGATAACAATAATTTTATAATTTTATTTATAAAATATTTCCTATTTTTAATATATAAAATAATAATTTTAATAATAAATAATTTCGAACCAAAAATTAATTAAAAAAAATAGTAGAGCCTCACCAAGTTCACATTATATATTCCTTAGTGGAAGGGTCAAAAGGCTTCTAGAATGTGATATTTGGGTCGCCTCTCCTTTTTGCATGTATTGGAATTATTATAGGCCACACACAAAGCATACCACTTGGTCTAATATCAAATTTGTATTCGATTTGATTGGAATTAAATAATTTTATTTTATATTACTTTAAGATAATTAGTGTTATAGTAAAAAAATTCGTTCGAATAAGATTTTAGGTCACAATAAGTCTTAGGTGTTCGATTTCTGAACAAACTCTAATGTTTTCCTATTAAAGAATTGTTATATCTATTCATATGATTATATAAGGTATAATGTCAAAAATACTCTTAATATTTGATTAAATAGTTATTTTAGTATCCGTGAGAAAACCTAATCTTGAGTAATGAGAAAACCTTAGTCGTTATTCTTCCACCCCTCTTTTTCTTTAGAATTTGTATCGTTTTCTATATATTAGATCAATTTTTTATTCTTTGATTTTGTTTAGCCGGCGACGACATCGATTTTGATGTTAATTACCGACCGTCAGTTTTCTTCTCTATTTGTTTCTTTTTTTAGTTTTTTTAATAAGAATAATTTTACCATTTTGACATGTTTTTCTTTGCCTTTGTGACACGTTTTTTTGTCTTTATGACACGTTTTTTGTCTTCTTTCTCGGTTGTTTGGCAATTCTTTTTTTTTTAATGTTTTCTCAGTGTTGGATTTAACGATGACACGATTGATTAAGATGACGCTTATTTGTAATCCCATTGATATTCCTTGCTATGAACCAGCAGATTGAATTTGGATACATGATTTTATATTCGTGAATAGTTTCTCATGACGCTCAGCTATGATTTGCGGTTCTCAGTGGTCTTTCAATAGTTTAACTCTTTTGTGATTCGTTTATCGATGTAGTCAGATTTGTTCGTATCTATTTTTTGTTCGAGTCTTTTAGTTGGCTTTTTTAACCTTTTTTCCATGTTTTATCTTTATATAAACTAAAGTGACTAGTTTCAATGTTATAAGAAATGTTTAAATTATGTATTTAGTTTACGACGATAATCGTAAACTCTTATTGTAATTTTATATATTTTCATTTTTTTTAATAAGACCAACGACTTCTATTAAAAAATAATTATTTTGGTCTCAATTCTTTTTTTAGAGTATTTTGGCCTCTTAGCTTTTTATTTTAGACTAAAAAAATCTCTAGCATTTGACTAAATAGTCACTTTAACCCTTATTATTTTTTTAGATCATTTTGCCCCCTAATATTTCTTTATAGAGGAAAAGATATGTATTTTAGAATATTGATTGTTTGTTAACTAACAGTTTACATCTATAAATGGACATGTTTGCCCCAAAATAAAACATTAGGATCAAAATTCTCATAAAAAAAGGAATCGCAGTAATTATTTAGTTAAACAATAAGAGTATTTTGGTTATTATACCATTATATAAATATAATATATCATCTACCCCTTAAGAAAATCATGTTTGTAGCCTAATGTTGAACAAATTAAAATTTATTTTTTATTCAATTAATACCTATTAATATGGAATATTCCTGTTTTTTTTCAAATAAATAGTAAAAAAATTCATATTTACTTATATTTAATCTATTTATTGATTAATTTAGATTTATATCATAGAGGTTTATAATATAAATGATTATTTCAACTTAATTTTTTCCATCATAACATCATCAACATCTAATCTTAATATCTTATTAAATCATTTGGTAGTTGATGAATTTAAAAATTTTGTTTGATATTTGATTAGATTCTGATAAATGTAATGCGCTTAAAGCATGAATTTGAGCAAAACGTTGAAAAAAAAATTGGGTCTCGACTTTAATACTTAAGTTTCGAATCAAATTTGATCCATTTTTTCAATTAATATAATAATGTATATCATGTAATTTTTATGGAAGAAAATAAATATCATATTATAATTTAGGGTAAATTATATTAGTGGTAACTAAATTTTTAGAATGCTTTCACTTTAATCATTAAAATCGAAAAAAGCTTTTATTAAAAAATAAGGTTAAGAAAAATTATCATTTAAATTAGTGGACAGTAGAGGTTTTAACGACAACTGATATAATGTTTCTATATGTCATTTTTATTGATAAATTAATAGACACTAATAAGATGTGACATGTCACCATCTTATTAGCAGAAAATTGACAGAGAATACATAGATTGATTGAGGAAGATTAAACACGAAAAATTAATAAATTAATATATATAGCATACCAACTGCAATCCAACAGCTGTATAACATGTCTGAAGCTAGTAGGAAACGAGCAACATCCCCAACCCGAGTTTATAAATGAAGGTTGAAGTTGACTTTAGTCATCTAAAATATAAATTAAAGGTTTAGTAATTTAAATGAGAGTTGAAATTAATTTTTTTAGATTTAATATAAAAATAAGTGTTTAAACTATGTACTTTTTCTTAAAGTAGTGTGTAAATTTTTTTTGGGTCGTCCAAGTGTCTAACATTACAAACGTTACCACTTTAAGTGTTATTTTTTATTGGTATAGGGTAAATATAGTGTGATATATTTTGAAAGATTTTCAAACATTTGATAATGAATATTCATACACTTCTGTAAACTTCATATTCGAATATAAGACCTCAAGAGATAATAACGATCTCTTAACTAATGAATTTGTTTGGTTAGTGCGAAATTAAGTTTAATGATTCGAAATGTAAATTATTCAGCTTTAAGTCTATAATTTACTTTGTTAGTATCAATTCTATTGTTGGTTAACACTTAATCAACAAGCTGGAGTAGCTCAGTTGGTTAGAGCGTGTGGCTGTTAACCACAAGGTCGGAGGTTCAAGCCCTCCTTCTAGCGTTTGGATATTATCTTTTTATCCTCTGTTTTCTTGGTACAAAATAACTGTTTAATTATATTTTTCTCCCTTTTCTTAAAGTTTTACAATGATATTTTTTTTCTAGTTTTTTAAAGTAAAAAGTAACGATTTAATTATCCTTCAGTCCCTGTAATCTTCAAAAATTTTAAATTTAGTTCCGTTATTTTTATTTCCAAAAGATTTAACAACATTAAAATCCAAACGATAATGTTTTAAAAAAATAAAGGTGCAAGTATCCTTCAATCCATGTACTCTTCATAATTGGGATGTGAGTGGGACGAATTTCGTAGTGATTGGCCTAATTTCGCATCAAATTGGACAGACGTGAGCATGACCTTGTACTTGTCAATCCCCATTCCATTGGTAATTTAATCCTTTTATTTCTAAAATTTTAATATTTTACTGAAAATTGAAGTCCTGAAGTCCTATTAATAATAGATTCAAATTTAATTGAAGTCAAATAACAATAATACTATCATTTGGACTAATTCACTTAACATGATAATTTCTTGTTTCTAAAGTGAAAATAATAATTATCCCTTCAATCCCCATACTCTTTAGACTTTTAACATTTAATCCCATTATTTTTATTTACAAAAAGTTAATCCTCCACTTGGATTTGAACATTAGAGTTCGAGTAATGATCATGTTAATGGTTTTTCATTAATTTGATTGTGCAACATTTTATTTTTTAAATGCCTGAAATAAAAACTAATGTCCAATTGATAATACGTTTCAAATTTAAAAGGCATTAGCTAACAGTATTATAAATTAGACTTCAATTCGAAATCCAACCAGAGGGGCTAAATACCATAGATTAAAAGCAAAGAGATTAAATTTCAAAAGTCTGAAGAGTCTAAGGACTAAGAACATAATTAGACCAAAACTGTGTGACCAATAAGTTATTCCATATATTTTAAAGTTCGAGCTGGAGTTATTCGAATGTAAGATTTCATTCTGAAATCTCAAGTTTCAATTTGAGCTAAGGTATTCATAAACCGATTTTCTAGAGCTTCAATATCGATTCGATAAAAAATTCCTTTAACTGCAAATAAAACTTCCATTGGCTGTATTACAGGATGATTATTCCGCGTCCCAGTTCGGAATGTTAGCCGTTGCTTCGTTCACCATCTTCACAAGGGTCACCTGCAGACACGACAATTCGAATACATGAAACCTGATCACATTCGAACTAAGAATTGCATGAATACATGCAAAAGAAAAGGGCTAAACCGGACTTAGGGAAAACAAAATAGCGAACAAGCATGCATCAGTTGTCAACCAAAATGAACAACATATTCAACAAGAATCACCTCAAATTGTATAATCAAGCTACCCTAACCCGGAATTTGTTTTGAACTATCTAATTGTTTTCCTTTGTTTAAGAGGCCGGAGTTCAACTCGAATTTACTACATATCGACTAGACTGGTCTTCAATTTAGCTAGGCCAAGTTAAGCTTAAAAAGAATGCCAAATGAGTTGTCTCGGATTTAAGAACCATAGTCGTCAAGAAAACAAACACCGTTGTCTCAAACATAGCAGAAAAACACAATCCATGAAGGTATTGGTAAAGGATAGCAGTATAGCACCCTAAATCGCAATATTGGTCCGTAACATTTCTATATATTGCTTTTCATAAATACATACCACACTTTCCGGGACCCCCGGAGGAGGCAAGGGGAGATTTCGTGGTGGTGGTCCTCGTAGATGTGATCGTTTGTCAAATCGCCACTCCCCAATTTTACCATACGTTAACTCACCCTGAATATTAAATGACAAGTTGTAAAACAGATGAAGTCTGTAATAATATTCGGAATAGCAAGAACGAATAATTAAACACGCAAAAACGGTTTACCTTCATATTGTAGTCACATCCATAGGTGTAGTGAATTATGAACCTTTTCCCTATTTCCAGATCCCATGGTGGCTGGAATACGAACAGATAACAAAACACCGTGATGCTTATCGATGAAAACTATACCAAAAAGTGAAAACATTTGGAAAAATAAGGTGCCAAACCTGAAGCATGAAGTCTTTCCGGAGAATGTGTTGCACGCCATGCAAAGCCGATGCCACAGCATAAGCATACCTTTGGTTCGTAAAACATGTCAGTACCGAAAGTTGAGCATACCGTGTCGGACACATCCCCATATCTGACACTCTAGCCTGAGTCTGAGAAAGATAGCCGATACTTACATTTCTAGCACCCATCCAAAAGCTTTATCAGTCTCTGGATCATCCTTCATTTTTAAAGAAACATTCATCCAAGTAGGAGCAATCTGTTCCAATAAATCCTGTATATAGAATCATACGGTTTTAACTTAACAGAAAGTCCGAAGCCAGAAACCTTAAAATAGTCTGATCCGTCTTAACCAATATTTGAATCAGGCGTAATCTATATATCAGTTAATAGGAGATTTTTACCTTCTTGATAATGACAGGCGAATTGCCGATCGGATCTATATTTGTCACTGGTCCCATCTCCTCCGGGAAAAACTTTCTTAACAATTTTTCGTTCTGATCCGGCTTAATGTAGAAAAAGGGGAACGCAGCCGGGTATCCTCCATGTGCCAGATTAGGTAGGGGAGTGACAAATATGTGGTCAGGCTCCGCCATCAATATATAGCTGCATCAAGAAAAATGGTCAGCATGCTTTAAATACCAATATTGCTCCGACTTTCGTTTTTCTCAAAGTGCTGATGTCCGACACATAGATACGGAGATATTAACTTCCAAGGAGCACCAAGTACATGGGAAAACTTAGAGAAAGAAATGCACTCACACTCGAATCCGATAAACAAAACTAAAAACGGATTAAGGTGCCATGAAACTGATAACAAAATCATGATATGTAAAAGCACTCACTCTTCTTCAATTGCAGCCTTTTCAAGCCACTGCACAAAAGCCCATGGCCGATTTAAGACAATGTATCCCTGAGAAGTGAGACGATGATCAATGGAATATCCAAAATTAGTAAACAAGAATTCGAAATTCAACCGTTCGAATAGTTCACTTTGTCTAGATCGATGACTCGAACTAATAAAACTAAAGTCCAAGACTATTCTATGCATTTAAACACACATAAAAGAAGAAACGACTAGCCCCAACCAAGAATATAGTGATGTGAAAAGCATACCCGATCGAGCCCTGCCGGAAGAGGATCAACTACAACGGTAGGAATCTCATCCATCAAGTTGTCAGGACTCCCCGAGTGTAAAATACGGGTGAACCCTCCCATTTCCGATCCAGGCAAGTCCTTCTGCTTCTTATACCAATAGTACATGATCCGACACTGCCACTTGCTGTATGGAGCATCAGTAGCTGTTAAGGCAACATGAAAAGGCAGTTTGGCATTCTTCGATTTCTTTACACTTTCGGGCATCTCAATGACTGGATCAAAAAACATCCCACCATTGGAGTCGTCAACAATCGGTTTCGAAAGAGATTTATTGTGCATTACCATTGTTACCAGATTGTAAGTGGTGAAGGAAAACCCGAGAACTAATGCAATAAGAAGGAGCGGTGAAGGACCTCCCATGTTCTTTTGCAGTATCATCGATAGTTGTAACCAAACCGCTTTAAAACAAGCTCTATGGCGCAATAAGTCCAAACCGGTTAATGATTGAAGTTCTGGTTGACTTACAGGACAAGGCAAGCTCGAAAACCGGCTTCAGAAGAATTACTGCAAACCAGTTAGACACCAATCAAGAATTGAACCAAGTTAACTAATCGAAATCAAGCAAGAAGTTTTCATTATTCAGAATATGAAGCACTACTTTGATATCAATTACTGATATGCAATACTAAAGCGAAGGCTCACAGCATATGAAAATTCAAGATACATTTCAAAGCTACATTACTCGGATTCAGATTCGAGAGTAGTTGATATATACATCGAAAGAAGACCAAAAGGGGATCAATATTTCCATACAACCAAACAGAAATCATTCAAATTCATCAATATCAGTCAAAACAACCAATCAATTGGCAAAATTAATCACTGTTTTTACAAGGATCGAACTTGAAAAAAGAAATCAAAACATACAATGTAAAATCGAGATCAAGCAACCTTGAGAGACATACCAGGATCAAACAAGAAGCAAACCAGAAAGCCAAAGCAGGACAAAACAGGCAAAATTGAGCTGAAACAGCCCGCTTGCAGGCAACTTTGTTAGAAAACAAGTTAATTAAAATAAACAAAGGCTTGCCACTAGTGATTACAATTTCAAGGGTTTACTAAACACGACTCCAAAAAAAACAACGAATTTTTGAAGAATTCTGATTAAGAATAGAGAAAAAGTCAAAACTCTGACAGCAAAACAATGGGTTTCAACACACAAACGGAGTAAATAAGAAAAACCCAGATTCAAGATAAGAACGTGGGGAGTGAATATGCAGTATTTTAAAGCTTATTAGCTCGAAAACCCCATGTTCATACTTTAATGTCATTTGCATGGCATAAGCCATAAAACATGGAAAAAAACTTAAAAAAAAACCCGAGTTTTTAATTATACCACATGTTGTTTAGAGAGAGAAACTTACAGCAGTATGGGGAGAGATTGATTGAAGTCTCTGTGCCAGCCTGAAACTGGGGTTTTAAATTTTCAATTGAAGGAGAGGCTAGTCAATGTCAATGGTGGGGTTTAAATTTAATTGAAAAAGAAAATGTTGGAAATGAAAAGATGGATCATAAAATAATAGAAAATGAAATGGAATTCCATGAATACCGGAGTAAATCCATTGGAGGATAAAGGAAATTGCTTTACAATATTCATTTTCCTTTACAAAATTTTCCTCATTAGCATCAAAATTAAATATATTACCCACCTTATTATGAGTTTTTTTGAGGCAGAAGGTACAAAAAAGTCTTCAAAATAGTTTCAACTAATTTGAATTAAATAATATACTAGTTAAGTATTTTGACTATTCGATTGTTCAGTATTAATGATTTTTTTTATTTAGAATACTTGGTGTCATGTGATATAATACAGTGCTATCACATGGTATTTGTAAATTTTTAAAAGAAAGATTTCGAAAAAAAATATAAAAATTATTAAAAATGTTATGAAAAACATTTAAAAATATTTATAATTGACAAAATATTCAAAATTTATAAGTATTAATATTAGTTAGGGGAAAGCCTTTGTATTATGTTAATATGGAGAGAAAGGAATCGCAGAATTTTCCGGGGGTTATAGATGTCTGAGGCGGAGGTGTTGTGTCGCTTGAAGGAGGTTGTTCGACTGAAGGTGACAGGTCTGGCTGGGGGAAAATTAGACCTGCTCAATCTATCTAGCTCCGGTGAATGGGAATGGACCGCGAAATTTTTTTTCAGATTTACAAAAATGACCAATAAATTTATAACGCAAACTCCAATTTCGCAACTAAGTTTCTAAATTCGCAACGCGAATATGTAAATCGCATTGTGATTTTTACAACTCGCAACGCGAATCTATAAATCGCTCCGAATTTGTAATTCGCAACACAGAAATCAAATTCGCAACACATAAGTCAAATTCGCAAAGCGCGTTTATTTTCGTAACGCGAATTTTATTTTCGAATTCGAAACACAATATTAATTTCACAACACAAATGTAAACAATATAATCGCAAATCATAACCTAAAACCCTAAATCACAACTCAGTCCCATCTCAATCTCTCACTGTCTACGACGACATCCGTTCCCATCTCCGGCGAAATCCGTTTATCTCCATCTCTCATAGCCACCCTCACAACCATTCACGGTCACAAATAGAAAATCAACCACCGAGGATTATTTTTTTTAATTATTTTTATTTTAAAATTTTTATATTATTATTAGATTTTTCATATTTAAATTGATGATAAATTTACTAGTAATTTCAATAATAGATTAACCATTTCACTTAGATTGCTTAGTAAATTCATTCGGTTGCTGCCAATACTGCTAAACTATTTAGTCTTTAACCATGTGAAGTTAGTATTTGTCTTTGTTTTGTCTTTTGGTTGAAGTAATGCAATTCATTCAAGTTTTAATTTGTAGAATAATAGTTTTTGAAACTTAAATTCGCAACACGAAAATGAAAATCGCAACGCGAAAATGAAAATAGCAACGCGATTTTAGTTTCGCCTTGTGATTTTCATTTTCGCGTTGCAATTTTAAGTTTTAGAAACTACTTTTCTTCTACAAATTGAAATTTGAATGAATTGCATTACTTCAACCAAAAGACAAAACAAAGACAAATATTAACTTTACAGTGTTGTGAATTTAAGTTTCAAGAATAAACTACTACTCTTTATGTTGTCCTTGAACCTGCACTAAACTTATATGTTGTCCTTTTAAATATTTATATAAGTGCTTACTTCTGGAATGTTATCTGATATATTTTGTGAACTATGATAGAATAATGACTTGGGTGAATACCGTGCTAGTTTGAAACATATTTGGCTTTGTTTTCACTGTTTAATATCATGTCTGTTTATAGTGTATAATTTGTAGTTTTTGGTATATCTAACTTGATATGTTTATTTGTTTTTGTTAGAATTTTTTTCAGCTTCATTGACTATAAGGAATAAATTAAGCCTAGCCACTACAATTGCGTCGACACTTACACCTGTACAAAGAAAATTGTTTGAGGATATTTGCTTCGGGCTATGGCTGAAAGTATAACATCCGGGTGGAGATGCTATGTTGACCCATTTGTTTCTTCAGACCATGACTAACGATCTACCCGAGAGGATACAACGTGATGATGAAGAGATATGGTTTCATTTTCCACCGGCGTATATTTTTTTTGGGCGGGAGGAGTTTTGCTTAATCACTGGTCTACGCATCGGACCCGATGAAGTAGGTCGGTACACTAGTCATATCGCCCGCCCATCATGGTTATCTCGGGTTTTTCCTGAGTTGGCAAAGGCGAAGCCCAGTTTACACGTCGACGACTTGAAAAGATTACTTGTTAAAGATGGTTTTACTCGGATGGATGACCTCAATGTTGTCCGAGTATGCCTTTTATTACTTTTGCATACCGACTTTTCAGGCAAAGAGGTCAGACAACCTATTTCTGAGGACCTAATATTATTGGTAGAGGACCTAAATGCATGGAACGTGTTTCCGTGGGGTTCATATCTATGGAAAGCTACCTGGAAAAAGTTATCGTCTGCCTTTGAGGACCGAAAAAGTTTGTGTGGTCATGGTTCCAAATACACTTTGGCATGCTTTATTTGGGCCTTTAAGGTAAGAATTTCTATATAATGTTTCCAAAATTATAATTAATTATTTAACAATTACTAATGTTTGTGTATTATATTGTTTGTAGATTTGGATATTTGAGGCTTTTCCCAGCATGCAGACATATGCAATCAAAAATTCAAATGATATTCCTAGGGCTATTTCCTGGAGGAGGATCTGGCTGTTGGATTAGGAAGAGTTACTACCATATACGACGATGAATGATGTAAGTTAACATAAATACTACCATATATAAACAAATTATTACTAGTAGACGTTTAACTTTGTTTGAGCTTTTATATTGTTAGGAGGCCAACTATCCATTACAGAGGCTAACACCCACAGAGGCTGAGCTTGCCACTGATTGGTGGCAATCTAGTAAGCATTTTTTTGATGGCACGGATGATGAGCACCCCCCACTTCGAGAGCCATCACCTGATTGAGCCGATTTTACAGCTCGACACCCAGAGCCATCACATGATCGAGCCGATTATACACCTCCACAACGAGAGCCATCACCTATTCTATCACATCATCGAGCCTCTTCTCCACCATCACCTCATGATAGGCAACCGACAAAGATGCCATGACATTTATCTCCCTATTCTCCACCTCCACAGGATGAGTTAGGGGAGTTACTTGATGAGGTCAGTGCTTTGCGTGAGGAGGTTGGTACTTTACGTAATGACAATGGTGCATGGCGTAATGAGGTACGGTCTTTACGTGGTGAGGTAGAAGTTTTACGTGATGACAATGGTGTTTTACGTGGTGAGGTATCTACTTTACGTGATGAGGTAGTCGCTCTACGTGAGATTGTTGCATCGTTACAGAATAAGGTTCATACTCTACGCAATGAGGTAAATTTGTTTAATACTATACTAAAAATGCAAATAACATTTTTTTCGGCATTATTTATTTGTTTATTTACTGATTTATGTATTAATTTATTTTTAGCGGCCCGAGAAGGTAGATGATTTACGTCGGGTTTTTCTTGCACGACGGGGTTCTCGTCATTTTTTCTTGCATGTGTTTATCCCTGTTATGGAACGTCGTCATTGGCTTCTCGATGAGCTTTAGCTCCCATCCCTGAAGACGATAGTATATGACAGCATGTTGAATTACATACTATTGTCTGATCTAAGAGATATTATTTGTAAGGGATGGAGCGCTCATTTGGCTAAATACTTGGATGCGATTGATTATTGGACTAATTCTGGAAACAATAAGCCAAAAAAGTTCAAAGTTATAATGATCAGAGACGAGACAGCGCCACAACAAACGGAGGGAGCCAGAAGGGATTGTGGTCCTCTCGTATGCATGTGCTTGGAACGTTTGACGTTAGGAAGTAAACAGTTTCTACCTCCCACAGATAGAGATAGAGGTGATGTAGGGTTATGGTTTTGGCATTTTATAGCTAGAGCGATATATGCGAGACGTTGCCTACCTGCATTCGCGTGCTGAAAGTGTGCATAAACAGCACAAATTGGTAAGTTTGAGCAAGTGTTGTTAACATATATACTCTTTGTTGGTTTGAAAATGTTTGGTTAAGTACCTAGATAATTTGTTGTTTGTTGGTTTTACATGTGTAGAAAGTGTTGTTTGAGCAAATGTTTGGTTTCTGCAGGTTAATCCTGAAGTGAGCTGCGTGAAATTGATGTATTTGTGCATAAATAACCAGCTGTTGATTTGTTTTTTTTAGATGCGTAAATAAGAATTGTTTTTTGCTTGTTTAATTGATTTGTAAAATTTGATTTGTTGTTTAAGAAAATTTCAATCTGCATTATGTTGAAGGCAAAAAAGACATGTTGAAGATATACTTTCGCAACGCGAAAGTCAAATTTGTATCGCGAAAGTCAAATTCGCGTTGCGATGGTTGCGAAAGTCAAATTCGCAGCGCAAAAGTCAAATGCGCGTTGCGAATTTTACTTTCGCGTTTCGAATTTGATTTTTGCAACAATCGTAACGCGAATTTGACTTTCGCAACAATCACAATGTGAATTTGACTTTCGCGTTGCGAATTCAAAGAAAACACCTTCAAAACAAACAACAATCCGATAAGTGATAACAACTGAACATATCATAGTAATGTTCAAAATCAAGTTACTAATGAATGTCTAACTGAAAATGTATGCATTCACACATAAAATACACATAATACAACGTTTGCATTTAAAAATCACCTAAGTTAATAAGTCTTAAAAGGTGAAGCCGGTTGTGATTGGAATTTTGATTTTGATTGCAATTTTGATTTCCTTTTCCTTGGCACCATATGAGTTTGGATTTTGACGAGGATCCATATTTTGGTAGAGGAAAATATGATTGTGATGGCACTGGTGATCCACATGTCAACCTTGTATGACCACTTTCCTTGCACCGACTACATGCCAATATCCTATTCTCTTCACCCTTAGACGGTATACGATCGTGATTTTTTGGTCGGCCAGGTCGTCTGTTGTCCATGACTGGTGGCAAAGCTATTTGTAAGTCATCTGGTATGTCCCACTCAGAATGATGTGGAATAGGGTAGACAATCTCAGCATAAGTCTATCGATATACTTCTGTAGTGTAGCAATCCATAGCGTATGCACTTGAATCATCTTGGTTTAGATGAAGAACAACTTTTATAACATGGTCACACGGATAACCAGATGTTTACAATTTCATACAACTACACGTCTTTGCATTTAGATCGACAAGCCCATTTAAGTTATTATCCAATACTTCAAACAAAGTGTTTGAACATGGTTCAACTCTCCATGACGTTGACTTCACAACACGTTTCGTTATCTTTTTTTTTCAGTCCATGATGTAACACGATGTTCCAATGTTCCTGTAAATTTAAATAAATAATACTTAGTAAAATATATAATTATGATAAGTTACGAATTTAAAGAAATAATACATGTATGGTTTCTTTGCTTGTAGTACTATTGTTGAATAGAGGCTCGAAAAAACTCTATTAACATAGTAATGGGTAATTTTCGGGAATGACGACTTAGAGCGTTGATTGATTCTGCACTATAAGACGTCATGAAACCATATCTTGCTCCAAGTTGATGTACTCTTGACCATCTTTCAAACTCGACATCTTATAGTGTTTGAGCACATTGAGAAAAATCACGTCTTAAACAATTTATATGCTTATTAAAATCCACTTCCCGAATAAGCTTTTACAGCCTTCCAGTATGTCCATTTGTGATTTTTTATACCAGCAGACCTTGTTTTTAGATTTCTATACAAATGAACACCACAAAGTCCATGAAAAGCATATGAGAAACACCTTCTAACAGCGTTGTCAATTGAGTTTGCTCTATTGGATATGATTGTCAGATTGCTAATAGGACCTATACAATCCCTAAGATGCCCCATAAACTATGTCCATAAATCAGAGGTTCAGATTTGCCAACCCCGTAAGCTATTGGCAGTATCCCATTGTTAGCATCCATGGCTACTGCTAATAAGTTTACTCCAAGGTATCAACCTTTCAAATGTGTTCCATCAACTATAATAACTGGGCGCATGCAAGTAATAAACGAACGAATCTACAAAATAATATACACAGGAAATATAATCATTTAAATATGAAATATATGTAACTAACAAAAATAAGTCAACAAAATTATATTGATTTACTAACCGCGGCACCAATGACAATAACAGAAACTCAAAGCATCCATCTCTATCTGTTTTGATATGAGTTACCGACCCATGATTTTTCAACTTTAAATTGTGACAATAAGCCGGCAGTTGGGCAAACGATGCTTCTGGAGACCCCCTCAACAATTCCAAGGCATAACATTTGGATCTCAAAGCTTGAGAATATGAGATACTAATCTTGAATCGAGCATTCATGCCAGTCATAATTTCATGTCCCCGATATACACTGTCATTCAAAAACATTAACTCAGCCAGAAAACCACCCAACACCTTTTTGTTTGTCTGTCTATGGTGAGGAAAAACTTGAGTTCTTGAACATGTATGTTTATCAATAAAAGTCCTAACTTGAAACATTTCGCAATCTTTTATCCTCTTTGCAATCATACGCCACGTACAGTTTTTGTCAATCATACACTTTGTTTCGAAACGATCTTTGCTTGATTTGTTAACTTTTAGTTGATAGCCATCTTCCACACATTTCGTATACAAAGCTATCTTCAAGTCTTCCTTTGTATCAAAACAATCATCTTTCTTGATACGAATAACTTTTGTGTAACAATGAACTGCTATCTTTACCAACTCTTCTTTCGATATCTGAAATAATTCTGGCATATTCCAGTCATACTCCTGTGGCATTTTCTTTTTTTCTTTTCTTCGGGGACTTCTTCTTTTTCTTTTTCTTCAGGGTTATATGAATTATATAATGGATGTTCAACATGTTCATTCACAGTCGTAACTTCCTCCTCATTATTATCAACATCTTCCTCGGCAGCGACTGTTTCATCATCAAAATTCGGGTATTGACCAATATCAAAATCATTACACGCAGGGTATATTTCTTCTTCTGAAACATCATCAAAACCTGAGTATTGACCAAGATCAAAGTCCAGGTATTGACCAAGATCAAATTTTGAATACTGACTAGTACTCACAATTTTTTTTGTTGGCTCATAATCGTCTAACTGGTCAATACGAAAACCAGAATTTGGTGCTGAAAGTTGATTGAGATTTGGATTAGGAAAAGGTTGTGTGTTTTGAGATTGTGTTTGATATTAGAAATGTGGTGAAACAAAGTTTTCTTGGTGATGAAATTGTGGTAGAACCATTAAATTTTGAGGTTGATAACAACGTTGTACATTGTGAGCACCATAAACTGGGGTTGAAGAACTTAGTTGATTACTACCCGCTACTGACCCAACTTCACTACTTCTAGGTTCAACAACATACAATGTAACATCATCTTATTGCGAAACACTAATGTAAGCAATGAATCGTCAACATCTTCATTGTCGGTTAACAAATAAACTTTACATTTTCTCTGATAAGATAGCTTAAATCCACTTAGAGGCTCTAAATTCAATTTCTTTGCAACACATAACATTAGAGTTTCATAAGTTAACTTTTTTAATGACAGTTTTAGTTGAAGATTCATGGGTAAAGACATATATTGTAAAACACCATGAACATTCTCCAAAACACAAATTTATCTAAACATGATCAACATTAGATGATTTCATTCTACAAATTGTAAATTAATTTACTAAACAAACGAGCTATAAACTACACATCATCATTAACTTAGAGAAGAACATACCTTTATTAAGTTGATAATTTGGGAGAGAAATCATTGAAAAATTATATAGAAATAAAATTATGTAAAAAAAAAATTAGAGATGGGGAATGATGTCGTTGGATATAGGAACGGATGTCGCCGGAGAGAGTGATAGATGGAGATGGAATGAGTTGCGATTTAGGGATTTAGGTTATGAGTCGTTGCTGCTGCGTAGTTATATGCCCAAAACATTTGTGTTGCGAAAATAAAACATGTTGCGAAATTAAAATTCTTGTTGCGAATTCGAAAATCAAGTTGCGAATTTGAAATTCAGTGTTACGAATTTGGCTTCTGTGTTGCGATTTGCATATTCGCGTTGCGATTTACAGATTCGCGTTGCGAATTTGGAAAATCGCAACGTGAATTCGGAAAATCACAATGCGATTTAAATATTTGTGTTGCGAATTTGAAAACTGATTTGCGAAATTGGAGTTAGCGTTGCGAATTTGTTTGTCATTTTCGCAAATTCAAAAAAAGTTAGTTAAAATCGTATATTTTAAGACATTTTCGGTGACTGAAGTTATTTTCTCATTTTTTTCATTTGATTATTTTATGCTTTATACCGTTCTTTTTTGGATATATAAAATTTACACTTATCCAGAAAAAAATATTAGTTGAGCTGATTATCATTCAAACTTAATTTTTTTTTTCAAGACTTGATAAAATTTGAATCCAATTAAATAAAATATATTTGTTTTATCAAATTTTCCAAAATTTAAATCGTAAAAATTCAACTCCTCGAACTTAAAAAACTGAAAAATTTATCAGAATCAATTTGAAAAGCTGAATAACTTTTCTAATTTGATTAACAAACCGATTAAACTAATAGGAGATGGCAAAATTTATAAATAAATACCAAAGAGTACATAAATTACCATATAGAGTTGGCTTTTCTTAACAATTGTAAACAAGATCAAATGATAATGTAATTTACAAAGATCAATCAGAACAAAAATTCTGGGTGCTGTACAGACATCATAAAGTCAAATGCCAATGGCATATGTATGTTAATTCTGTAATACTGGATTCATCATATAGACATAACAAATGTTGTTGCAGTCTATTGCAGTGACTATTGACGACCGAGAGAGTCGATAATGTCACATTACTATAGCCGTTATTTAAATCCTTGATCTTAGCCTTGTGATAGGCTATAACACCCTTTCTGGATACGTGAACATACTGTCCCTTATTCAACTCGGACAAGATATAAGTTAAACTTTCGGACACTGACGGAAAAATAAGTATTAAGGCGTTACCATGGCTCGGAGTTGTTGCCAAGAAAATTCCGGACATAAAACGGTTGGGACCAACCTTCCTCCGTTGTGATGAGATTCAGACGCACAAGCAATTTCTGAACAGCTTCTTCTTCCAGGATGCTAATTGAGTTTGTTGACTGTCTTTGCGAGGAAGAGCTCTGCAATAGTTTATTAAACTTCTTTATCACAGTCTGTAAAAATTCGAATTTTAGACGGATATTTACATCACACTTTGAAACTTACCTTTGCCTCTTGGTACAACTTGAGGTATTTCAGAGATTGATCATATAATCCACAATGGTAGAGGAGAATGCTGTAATCTCTCATTTCCTTCGGATTGTTTTTTAGAAGAATAAGCCGTTCACATGCTGCAACGAGGAGTAAGTACTAATAAAATATAAGTATGATAACCTCAATATCAGATTCCGAATGAATAAAGACAAACAAATAAATTTTGCCTAAAGCAGGTTGGAGCAAAGAAATCTGAAAGGATAGGAGAGGACTAAGAAATGGCTACGCGGAAAATTGAGCTGACAAACTATATTACACAAAACCGGGTGTTTGTTGGATACGGGTATGTGTCGGGCACAAATATGTTCAACCTTATTATATTCTCGTAGATTGGTTGCATCAAGTTTTTTCTGTTCGTATATGCTCCTTTTTCGTATAAATGAATAGCTAAAGGAGGGGCAACATTATACAACCCAACAAAATTCAAGCTAATAGATATGTAACAAACAGAACCATCAGAGAGCAAGTCCCTGATTTTAACAAAAGTTTCAATTACGCTTTTGTTTCCTTCCTAGAGAATGTACTTCTCGGATTTTCGGCTTGACCAGGTTCAGGCTATGCCAGATCGTTCAGTTGTTAGTTTTGAGTTAGGTTTATCAAAATCAGGTTAGCTTTTCCCACCTCTAGACTATCATGTTTTAATGTATATTACTAGGCAGAAGGAAATTAACTCATGCAACGTCTTCTAGATACTTACCAGACAAAGCACGTCTCATATCCCCAAAACGTACGCTGGTCCAAACGCCCCGCTCTAGCCTATGCTGAGCAGCCTTTGCGGATGCAAGCTGATAGGCACTACAAGAAACCGAATTTGAAAATATAACCGAAGATTTCAAAAGTACAGATAAAACAACATTAAATAAATACCTCTCTTGACTGCCATTAAAGCTGTCTACACAGTTGGCTGCATCTGCTGCCCTTAAAAATAAACTATCAGCACGATCGTGTTGAAATGGCCAGAAAGCAACCTTCAAATTACTCAAAATCTGCAATCATGAAAGTATTTGATAAAAAAACCGAAAAACGGAAAACACACACACACACACACACACACACACACACACAGAGAAGATGCAATATAATTCTTGTAAAGAACAATAGAACATAACAAAGGTTAAACCAAACTTACATTACCTGGACTCAGGGTAAGTGTCAGATACAGGTTTAAGTCTGAGATAGTTATACTAAGTTTCTTTTTTCCAAGTTTTTTAATATATTTGGGGAAACATATCCTCATATGTCATTTCCATATCCAAATGTGTTGGATACAAGTGTTGGACACGGATATTGTATGGAACATGAAAAGTCAAAGCAACCTAGCAAAACTTACAACAGTTATGGCATCACATAAATGTAGTTGGAATCAAACAGTTAGCAATCATTTTAGGTGATCAGTTTCTTGTTTTCAACTCATGTTCCACTTGTCCCGGTATGAGAGTAAATTAACAAAAGAGAAATTAACGAAAAACAGAGAAACAGTCATAACTTATTGTAAACATCAAGTGTCAGTTTTTCTTTAACTTGACTTAGATAAGATTTAATGTATAATATGTAAGAAATCAAAGGGGCAAGAGTATAAACATCACCTCTTCCAATAGCATTTGTACAGTCATTATGTGGGGCTGATCAGATTCTTTGCTCTTTTGCTTATCATAGGCTCTCGGAAGACCATCATGATCACGAGGAAAGAAAATCTCTACATCAAAATCCAAAAGGCCCCACATGCGAAACATTTTCAGGATCTCACAGTGTATGAGTGAAAGCATTAAAGCAGAACCTGAACGATGCGTCAAAACCTGCTCAAACCGTAAGGATTAACTAACAAAATCTCCATAAAATGGTATGTCATTCAGAAGTAAATACAAAATGATAAGATAGAAAGACTGTCTTTCATACCGAGTGAAGATAAAGGGCTCGTGGCTCTGCTTGGTTCTTGGCCATAGATCTCCGAAAGCCCTACGAAGAAGTTAATGGATTAACCAGTTAAAAAAACATATGATCACATTAACATTTGAGAAATAAATAACTTTTTTATATGCTCAATAGACTTGAAAATGGCATTAACTATGTTTAGTGGTAAGACATTATGTTATGAGCAAATTAAAAATCTCTCACAAATACCTTTCTGACATACAAATATTTTTCTATGCTCTCCAAAAAATTCTCCCGTGACGACCTGCATGATGAGTTGTAGTGAGAGCAGTAGCCCATGGAAAGATCATCCAATCTTTCAAGAAAAGCATCCACGGGCAAAGGAACGGAAGAATGCGAAATGAGAGAATCATCCTCTGCTGCTATGTAAAGAGCAGTTTTCCCAAGATCAACGCCTCTATTTATACTAATACTTGTTTCCCTCTCGATATTGGATAATTCTTTAATTTGTGAAACGAAACCCTTCCTGGCCTCCTGCTCAAAGATCATTTAGGACTAAAAATTTTAGATACAAACGTTAAACAACAAACTATATCAAACTTGATATATCATTAAAACATATCATTGAGCTTAACCTATCATGTTGTTCATTCTCGTACACGTGTGACTCTATTGAAATGAAAAAGTGGGATACAAAAACATAAATCCCAAACTCTATCCTCCGCAATAATCAAAACTATAACATTCAAATTGAGAGTTTCCAGTTCTAATCAAATTGAGAGACAGCCATAACTTCATCAATTCTTGACAGATGATTAAAAAAACCAAAACAATCACATAAAAGATGAATAAAGTTCGATTAACATTGATTAGAAACAATCAATAGAATTTTAAAAAGAAAGTTCCATGGAAAATTACTCAAATTCTATTAGATTAAACTAATTCGAACATTTCTCCAACTACATTCTGAAAAGCATATAATAGTTCTCTTTAAAGTAGAAAGGATGGAGCACTAGTACTCTAGCGTGAGAGGTATCGATTCCAGAAGATTCAAGAGCATCGTGCAAGGAAAAGTTGAAATCGGTGGAAGCAGCAGCGCGAGGAAAGGATCGACCACGGCGATTACACGGCGAGGATAACGAAGTGGGCAGGGCAGGGATTGAATAGATTTTGGAGAATTTAGGAGGAAAAGGATTGAGAATCGTAGGCGACGTTAGTGAAGAAGATGAACTCATTGCTGCTTCGTTAATGGCGACGATAACCAGGAGTGTCTAAGTGATAAATGATTAAATTTATTTATTTTTACTTAATCAATTGTAGAATCTGCAAAATATCTCACAGACATTTTTATATAGGTTAAACTATACATTAGTAGTTGAATTATAGTGACTGTTTCATTTTGGGCACTGAACTATTAAAAAATTTAATTTTAACGATAATTTTTTTCAATTTGGTATGTTGTCAATGTATTAATCATTAATAGTCGTTTAATATATATATATTGACTTGAAATCAAAATATTTTTTGTTTGTTTTTGTTTAACGTAACATTTTTTTTATCTCACTATCTTCCTTATCAAATTTAAGATTTTAATAATAGTTGAAATTATCATTCCTCAGTGTTTTTTCCTTGAATGAAATTGAAACTAAAGTTAGAGAATCAAAGTCCAATACATTAATACGGAGGACCAATAATATCTCAACACATAATGTCAATTAGCTGAATAATGGGTGACTCTAAAATAACGAGAGATTTATCCGAGAAAAAAATCACATTTGATTATGAAATCGACTTATGCATTAACTTTATACTTGATTAGAAAGCAATCTATCATCCAAATTTTACGGTAAAGATGATCAATGACACGAATCAATGCATGCAGGCTTGTAGGAGAAGCTGATGTGAAAAAATAATGAACACAATTCGTATCATCATCTTCTATCACTATACTAATTTAATTTTTTCTTAGATCCCTTTAAAATTAAAAAAAATTAAAATAAACTATTTTTAGAGTTTTATTTTTAAACTTTTTTCCTGATTTGTAATATTTTTATGGGTTTTAATTTTTAAAAAAAAATTAAACATAATTACATTTAAAAACATAAATTCTGACTATTTATTTTTTGGTAATTTTCTGATTTTTTTTATCATTCTAAGAATTTTCTAATCTCTATTACATATGACAACTTGATAGGGCCTCATGATACTTTTTAACGAAAACGTCAAAGAAACTAATTTGATAGATGAAATATAAGTTAAGGACCAAAATGATAAAAATAAAATAAAATGATCAAAGAATTTCACTAAAGTGTAGGGGACATTTTAGGTATTAAGCATTTATTTGTTGCGTCCACAATATGATCAAAAGCCTTCATGGATAGGCTTGGACACCACCAACATATGTTGCATTAACCGATGCAGATCCCTCGGTAGCAAACTCATCCCACGAATCGGTTGATAGTACGACGAAATCAGCCAATTTTCCGGTCAATAGAGATCCTATTTTGTTCTCAAGAAAGCATGCCCGAGCAGCTGAAATCGTGTGCCTGTTATGATGAAACCAGGAAAACATCAGATAAAAGCATTGGAGTGATGACCGAGGGACTTCATTTTCTCTAAAGCACCCATGTCTGACACCAGCGTCGGTGTCCAGTGCATTTCGGACATGGATATGGAGATATGATCCTCAAATATAGGAAAAACTTGAGCATACTTTTGTCTATCATATATCCATATATATCCGACACCAATTCCAGGTATAGAAATTTAAAGCCAGTGCAGACAAAAGTAAATCATGATAAAGTAAGCATGCTTCGATGAAGAACAGATGCAAAATCCAAAAAGAAACATAGGAATGCCAATCAAGAACAATGATTTTAAGTTTTTAACAGTTCGATTTGAAAGTTCGAATGATTTTTTTTTATCAAGGAATGTGTCCATTTCGACGTTGATAAGAATTTGGTTACTTTCTAGAAATTATGGTAAAGCAGCGCGCAGCAAGTATTTATATTGAGAACAAATAAGTACACGTCGAAGACTCGGAGAAAATGTAGTTCTAATGTTGCTTACCCAATTAATGCGTCGTTCAGCGACAGGCACTCGGACGGAATCCAAGCATTTTCCCAGCCAGGAGGAATTCTTTTCATTGCTGTTCTTATCGCACGCAAAGGATAAGCACTTGTAACCTGGAGTAACAACAATAAATGAGGTCCTGAGAAGACGTAGAAACCTATGTTACCCAGAGTTGGGATGAGTGTCGATATATGTGTCCGACATGGGTCTGCTTAATTGTTTTGAGGGTTTTCCATATATTTAGTGAATCTAGTCCGCTATACACATGTATGAATATGTTTCAGACATAGATGTTAAACACAAACTTCACGGAAATGAAGAGTCCAAGTAACATAGGTAGAAACGAGAAACAAATATTAACCGGAAGATGATGCTCACAGGCCAGTCAGAACCGAGAGGCAACAATGCATTGCTTGATAGAAGTGACCGGAAAAGATAAGACCCCTTTTGAGCCCTATCCACCCCAAGCTTTCTGATCGCGGCATCAGCATCATCGAGCAAGTGATCAGGCTGTTGGCAATAATAACATCCAAGTATCATCAAACTGAAATCATTTCCAGTAGAATTAGATAAGAGTATCTAAGTATTTAAGATCACCCTCACATGGATGCAACAATAATTTCAAGTTTTTACTAAACGATAGAACAGAATGCAAAAGAGAAGATGGAATTCCGAATTCATGGTTCAAACATGAATTCACCCCTGGAGTTAAAAATACGAAAAAATATGCATTCACATTTTATTAGCAGTGTCTTAGTATGAATCATGAAAATATAACAGAGCGCCGAAAAGAATTAAAACCTGTACTGAAGCAACAATCCCTTGTTGGCCAAATCGAGCCGCTGTGCCCGGGGCTAAATGCTGGGCATGCTCAATCTGAAATCATAATCAAAAAGGAGAAAACCCGGTCAAGCTGAAATTGTGAGCATGGAACATGCTTGTACAAGGAAGAAATTCCGAGATTTTGACCATTACCCTAAATCTCCGATCTCTTTTTCCATTTTTGGAGATAACAGATTCATACATATCAAGGACCAAGTCATTTGCTCTATCACCTATAGCATGGATAGCAACCTGAAATAAATTAAACACGAAGTAAGCTTCTATAACAGATAAAGAGTTTCGATTAAGAAAGAATGCTATTAGTCATTGGTAACCTGAAGCCCAGACATGTCGGAAGCCATTGTCATGTTCAAAAGACTTTCGGATTCCACAACTTGTAAACCAAAATTGTGAGGGTCATCAAAATATGGCTACAATAAAAGAAATAACATAAAAGCATTAGGTATTACCATCACCACCAAATACATTTCGTGCTAGACAAATACACACAAGTTGTATGGTTCTCACCTCATGGAAGAGAGCACTATTCGAACCGAGAGAGCCATCAGCAAAAGCTTTAACTCCACCAAAGTAAATCCAATCACTCAAAGCATGGCCTGCCCTATGAATTACACTCTGGTATGAAAAAGAAACATTATAAATAAACCGAAAAGGAGAAAGAAGAAAATCTGAGCATGAAGTAAAACAGAACACCAAGACATGAAATGGAGGACAAAAATAAGGCAAGCAAAAATATGTATATGTATACGTAACATAGAAGTCATTCAACACAATTAGAAATGAAAGTAAAATATCTGTGTTACATGTTGAAGAGAGAAACAGATAAGAGGTCATACATATAACCTAGACCAGGTCTCCATTGGAAAAAATAAGCACACTCTTATTTTCATCTTCCCTGAAGAATCAGCCCATTGATACACATCTGTACAAACGAAGATTCCCATGTATCAGAAGTTTTTTTTTATCTCAGATATCCATGTCTGGATAAGTCCTAGGTATGGGTGTCAAACATGGGTACTTCAAGCAAAACGAAGAGTCAGAGCAACATAGAATATAATTAATAGGTTCATTTATTTGATATCTTCATTGACCCAGAAAACTATTTTAAGTGAAACCTGAAAAGTCCTGCCACGAATGCTCAACTGGTGCTCCAGGAAAATATCTCCCAAAATCAACAACTGCTGTGACACCCCTCATTAAGGCAAAACTGCTAGCTCTAAGCATCGCTTCCCTCCTTTCATCAACAGAGACTTCCGGAATCCAGGAAAGAATAAGTTCCGTTGCAGCATCAACCAGCAGACCAGTAGGTTCTGCGTAGTCATGAAGAAAATTTAACATAAGCAATAAGTTTATAAATTATTAGCTTAGTTACACATGTTACTTAGATATGCGTATGTTCATTTTTTTTCTCCAAGTTTTTTAGCGTATTTGGAGGATCTATAACCATATCCATGTCTAGATATGCACCAAACATGAGAGTCAGACAAAGATATTTCAAGAAAAATTGAGTCAGAATATGTAGGTTACATAAAAAAAGAACCTAGGAAATTCATAGCTGGAAATTGCACACACTATCAAACAACAAGCACATATGGGGCACCTGTAAGCGTAATATTCCCTGAAATTGTACAACATACTAGGATTTATTTTACTAAAAGTATGCATGCAAAAACAGTAGATTTCTTTGAAACAGTGTTTATCTAAATTTCATTCATACATGAAGAAGCAGAACGAAATTTGTTGAGGGAAAGAGCCAAACCTTATTTTCAATATCAGATATAAGAAATGGGCATTAAACCTATATGAGTGCCGGATAAGGGTATATGTCAGACACAGGTATGTTTAATTTTTGTTGAAATTTTTCCATGTATTTTAGAGGGTCCTTAGAGGGTAATATTCCTATACCAATATCTTGCTATACGTCGGACACATTTATTTAGAGAAAAATGAAGAGTAAGAGCAATATAGATTTAGACTATATTTTAAATTTTTATTTAGCTATCAAGAGGGAAGCGGTTGTTTGTTCCACCAAGCAATATCAACCCTAAAACCAGAAGAAACTAAATAGACTAATACGCATACCTCCGTTAGTAGCTCTCATTATTGTGCCACCATTCGGATCTTTTGATAAATTAGTGACTCCAGCCAACTTTAGTGCCGCCGAGTTAGCCAAGCCCATATGACCATCCATCCTTGTTAGCCAAACCTGCAAAATAAGATATCATTACCATGCTCGATATATAAAGTGCCTGCATGTCAACATGAATAGATATTCTCAATCAAACTCCAGCTTCTTACAGGATTATCAGCTGTGACCTCATCTATCCAAGATGCCACTGGCAGTTCCCCTCCCCAAAGATCATTGTTCCATCCACCACCCAGAATCCACGAACCCCTTTTGGCATCTACAATTATTCACAAGAACAAGGCAAGTGAGAAAGTAATACGAGATTGACAAAAGCATGTAAGAAGCAAAAACACGGAAGTAACTTTATTCAATTATATAATTACACCGGTATGGTCAGATTTTTATAAGTTTTTCCATATAAATTGGGGGATCTTTGGCAGGGGAGAAGACATATTTTTTTTTAAGTTGGGGGGGGGGGACTTCAGTTATATAAGTTTTTATGGTAGTCAAAATTTAATGTTACCATTGTATTGGCTTCAAACTTTACAATTTTTAGAACTAAATCATAATTTAATCATTTTAAGGGGGACTAAAATGTAATTTTACCATTACTAACTTCTAAGTTTATAACTTGTAAAGGGACTTTGTGCATAATTTTGCCAATTTAGGAGGGACCTTGTCCCCGCCAGCCCCCCTAGATTCACATCTGATCTTTGGAGGTCATAGCCCTATTTGGTTATGGATAGCAATGAACTAATAGGGACAACACCTAATCCTATGCACCTATAAACTAAGTAAATCATAAACATAATAACTTTTCAGAAATTTGGTTAAGTACATACTTTTGATATTAATGCAGATTAAATGGAACAAAAAACAAATATTTTTCAGTTACCCAGAAACAATAAAGAGGATGAAACATCAAAAAACATAAATTAAAGAGAAAGAAGATACTTAGTGCTGCTTCTTTCACTCTTCTCACGACTTCTTCTTTCTGATTTACACCTTCGAGCTGTACACGTGCCATCTGTCCTACACAAGAAAATCTCAATTTTGCATAATCATGTATCAACTACAACCACAGGAAACAAAAGCAGATACACTAGGACGTTAAAAGCAAAAAAACAACCCCTAAAAAAATCTAGGCATGTTTAGGGAATCCATCCAGAGGATTGATATGTTTGACAATTAAAGGGACATCGTATGAGATCCCTTTTCTTTTATCTATGGTTAATGTCTGAAAAAGATGGGCATTCATAAAGAAACTTAAAGGGGAATGCTATGTAAGAATACTGAACTCTTAGTCTGCCATAGTTTTAACACCAACATGCTAATGACGATGACACCTATGATGTCATGTTGCCATGCCCTACCATGTATGAGGATTGAGCAAAGTTTCTCTTCAGGACATTTGTTCTATCTAGCAGCAACTGGGTACAAAAAAGTGATGCACGGGCTTGCATGCTGGCTATAGGAATAAGGAATTCACCCACAATCATTTGATACATAAAATAAACTCGTTAAGAAACACTATAACAGTGAGCTTTTCTAAGCAAAAATTCTAATAGAAGAGCACAATAGGAGAACATAGAGATGATGAAAAAGATATGAAAAGCCATAAAAAGCTCTAGAATACCCACAAACATCACAAGATAGAAAAAATTCACTGAGACAGAAAACCAACATAAAGGGCTTCTCAAGAACCAAAATTTAAAATTTAAACTCCAAATTAAAGTGTTGCCATCAATTGAGAATCCCCTACTTTGCCTCCTCAAAAACTCCAGTCCATGGTATAATCCTCCAAGTCACAAAACTTCTAATCGCATCCTTAATCTACAATAAAGGGAAAAAGTTCACTATATTTTCCACATGGTTTTGTGTCAAATGAGTAATTGCATCCTAATTACTCGGTTGATTCTATAATTATTCATTGCATGTTCAGGCATGTCTAGGAGTGCGTTGACTACTTTTCCTGCCCGGTTTTTTTTCGACGGTCCTCACATATGTCGTGTCTGAGCAGCGCCCGTGTTGAGCACATGGCCAAGCCTTGGACACTCCCCCGTACCAAGTGTCCGTGGTTCATTTACAAGTACAACCCAGATTTAACAAAAACAGACAAGAAAAATCTCTACTGTGCACAACATCAGCTCGGTGAAGGTGAAGACTTTTGAAAAATAAATGGCACGAAGAAAAGAAAATCAGTAGGTGAAATTTTAAAACCTGAAGCCCTGCAGAAATCAAGTGCACGTGAGAATCAATAAATCCGGGCACCACGATCTTTCCTTCAAGATTCAGCTCTGTAGTACCGTATCCTGACAAATCCTGCACTCAAAGCTTAATATATGAAATAAAATAAAACTCCATTAATAGAATTCAAGACACTATAGTGGCAAAGAATAACACTATGAATTCACATTTTGTTAAAGAAGAAAGCATAATCGCAGTAGCCAAGAAAAAACCACATCCAAAATACAAATACAAAAATGGGGTTTAAATGGGAAAAAGGAAAAAGAAAGATAAACAACCTGAAGAGAGGAATAGTTGCCAACACGAAGGATTATACCGTCACGAATGGCCATGGAATCAGCGAAAGGAAAAGAAGGGGCACTGGTGAAAATGACCCCATTTTTAACTATCAAATCAGCACCTAGTTTAGTCGATGGAATCAGTGAAGCTCTCCATTTCAACCAATCTGCGGGGAAAAAAAGAAGAAAAAAAGGTTAAGCAGTAGGACATTAAGGAGTACCCAAGTTGATGAATTGTAAAAAGAACGTGGAAATGAGAAGAATCCGAAAAAAGAAGGGGAAAAGGTTGGGGTTTTAGTTACAATTGGAGTTTAGCAGAGGGAAGAAGACGATGGAAAGGAAAATGGCAATCGAAGCTGAAATGACAATGGAAAGATTCATGTTTCTTCTTCTTTGTTTTTCACCTCTTTCTGCTCAGTTTAGTGTTATCATTTAAGTTTTGGCGTGCAGGTGCCATCAGCGGTGAGCAAACACTACGACTTTTTTAACTTTATTTGATGTTAAAAAATTCAACTTGATTTGATTTAGTTGGTATTTTCATAAATTCAACTAGAATGGAAAATCTTAAATTAGAATTGAATTATAAAATAAATTTTAAATAATTTAAAATCTTCAATAGTTAATAAATTGATAGTTCGAATCGAATATATTAACTCTATATAATATATTCATATACTATAATTATAAAACCATATGGATTGAAATCAAACAGTATAATTACATTATAAATATTTATGATTAAATTTTAACAGAAATTCTAACAACTTAATTCTACTCAATTTTTTAAATAAAATTAAGTTATAAAATAAGACTGGTAAACTTAATAATTTGAAATTTAAATTTTAACCATTTAATTTATAACAAGTGAATATGAACAAAACGATCTCAATAATTAAAGAGACTATTATTATCTCTTGAGGTTTTGAGTTTGAACATCGTATATACAAAAAATCAAATAATTAAAAATCTTTAAACGGATACAACCTTATATTCACATCAGATTAATAAAAAAAACTATTATGTATAACAATGCATCTTGACACGTTTGTTAATTGTTGCTTGCATGGACAGTGGACAACTATCAGACTATCAATTTTTCATTTAAAGTATAAAATATACTTTTATTAATAATTCTTAATTTAAAAGTAAATCATATTCATGAAATAATATTGCTTTCTATTTGTGTTTTGTTTCACTTTTATTTTTCCAAAATAAAAAGAATAATCCCTTAATAACGCTACTAATGTTATGATTTCATTTTACAAACAATACCACCCATTACGCATAGTTTAGTAAGAAAGTTTGTGCTAGTTAGTTTCGAATTTCGTAAATGGAGGAAATAAACTCGGCCCAACCCGACTCTAAAATAATCTCGACCTTATACCAAGAGGTCTAAGACCAATAAAGAAAATCCTTAAAGAATTATATATCAATGATCATGTCTGGATATGTCGAATAAAAGTATAGGACACGAATACTTCGAGAAATCGAATAGTCTAATCGACATAAGTTAACCACTATAACTAGAATACATTAACTGGTCATGTTTGGGGTTAAAAAAGGGAAGTTCATACAAGGATCTATGGAAGTTTAGTACCTTTTTTTAGGGGAATAAACACACTTAACATCTGCTTTTATATGTACAAGTCAAAAGATTAATGTACCAGGAAAGAGCAAAATGTCTACCTAAACCCTTTTCTGAATGATGTTAACACTCGGTCAGACAGATGCGTACTGCCTAATCTCCCCCCTCTGTATCCTCCCGAGCAGCGCTTTGCTCACCGTTCCCTTGAGAATTCTCTGGAGCAACGCTTTGCTCATGGTTCCAGTGTTGCTCACGGTTCCCTTGAGAATTCTCCGGAGCAACACTTCGCTCACGGTTCACTTGAGAATTCTTCGGACCAATGCTTCGCTCACGGTTCCCTTGAGAATTCTCCGGAGCAACACTTCGCTCACGATTCCCTCCAAAACGAGATTTTCGGAAATATTTTGGATTAAAAGCTTCTGCCAAATCAGGATATTTCACCTTGATCATGTTTTCCAGGCATTTGAGATACGAGAAATCTTGCTTATGACCGTCGGTTGTGACAACAAAGAAGCACCTGGTATCTGTGAAATTGCTGTGTTTGTTTACCTGTTCCATATCAAGTGAAATACACAAATAGTTGATTAATAATTCAAGAAAACCATCATAGTAAACGAATATCACAAATATACCAAAATCAGTATAACATTGTAAACCAACATATTTAAGAGCAACAAATATATTACAAAAAAGAAAACCATCATTCATAGTAACCTATTCCAAAATCAAGCATCAAGAGAAAATTCTCTATTAAGTCTCGGAGTTTCCGTGTTCTTATATTCAAGTTAGGCCTCTCCACCTATTAATAATTGGTTTCAGGTTGATGGCATGGACGATTTACTTGACCATATAGCATAGGATCTAGATGTCACTGAAGTGTATCAAATACCAGCAAGCGTTAATTCATGCACACATAATGCACAGTCCAAAAGAAAAGGCATATCATGGGAGCATTAGTGCTTTAGGTGAATAAAGGACAAGAAAACGTCACCATAAGCTAAAGATGCCTTCATCGGATATGACCAGAGTACTTCAGAAGGCCTGAGAATTCAGTGCCATCACTAAACAAAGAAGTTAAGCTTCAAATAGATGAAATCTCGGTGTTCACACCTTGGACAACTATTCCTCATCATTAGTGAATTAGAAACATTGGCATGAGAGTTAACATGAAAAACATGAAAAGAAATACAAGCTTGTACTAGGGGTCAATAGTGAGTGTCTCGTGAGTTGAAGCATAAAGCATAGAATGTGTTTAAATGGATGCCATTGTCCACTTTAATAGATCAAAAGCTCACAAATCACAAATTTTGAGGGAAATGGCTTAAAACTCTTCCATGTATAACAAACGATAGGAACATAATTTAAACAAAAGCAAACTAGGGAAAAAGTTGATAACCAAGCATACCATAACATAGTCAACACCAGAACCCATTTTTACAGCTCTGTCTGGATGGTGAGCGAAAACATTATCAAGAACAAACGACTGATCCTCAGCGGACAGTGGATCCCCATCATTGTACCTTCACACATGAATTTTCTATTAAGAAAACACCTGGGATAAGATGAAAACAAGCAGAGAGGAGCAGAAACCATTGGCTCCACAGCCAGGAGATGGGTAAGTAGAAAAAAGATCAAGTACAATAATTAGACACCGAGGATAAATGTAGGCTAAGTCATTTGGAGTGTCTGCTTTTTAACACTTTATCTAATAAAACTTGAGCAAATACTATTGCTTAAAAGAATCATAAAAATTCCGACATGAACTATGGTAGAAAAGAATGTTAATGCAAATCTCTTATATATTCAAAGCTGAATAGTGAATAGAGTATTTAATTAACCAGATTTTCCAGAATCATGATCATGTCAACTAGAAGGGTGCAATTATTAATACAAATAAATTGTTTCCTGATTGTTAGATGATTAGAGACCGAAGATCATACAAATTGAATATCAAATGTAAGGGTATCTATTATCTAATTTCCCAAAATTTCCTCAGCCATGCATATCCATGTTAACTAACATAAAGAAATTCCATTCCACTTTGTGATGCAACTAAAAACCTATATTGTCAAAAAATTTCAAGAGAGAAGTCGGAGAAAGTTTACCCAGTCTGGTGCATTATTTTTCTGACTGACTGCATGAGTGGCTCAACAGCCGAGAGAATATCTTGCTCCTCGGAAGTAAACATGTCTAGTCTTTGCCTTGTAGCAGTATACATTGCAGCCATACCGGAATCATCATTCATTGGTCGAGCTGACTTCACTGGACGGTTCTTACTAGCATCTGAAGCCCAACGACGTGAGCCCCTAGTCTGTCCCCACTGATGCTGCTTTTCACTTTCAGTGTTATCCTCATCATTTGGCATGTCCCAGCCACTAGAACTTGCAGGCTGGTTTAAGTCATTAAGGGTGTCCCAACCTTGCAAACTTTCTTGTGACTTTTGTTGATCCCAAGAACTCATCGCTGTAGGTGACTTTTGTTGGTCCCATGAACTATTCACCGTAGGTGACTTTTGCTGGTTCCAAGAACTATTTGTCACAGGTGACTTCTGTTGGTCCCAAGAACTATTAGTTGCAGGTGACTTTTGTTGGTCCCAAGAACTATTCGTCGCAGGTGACTTCTGTTGGTCCCAATAACTATTAGTTGCAGGTGACTTTTGATGGTCCCAGGAACTATTCATTGTATACGACTTTTGTTGGTCTGAAGAATTATTCTTATTCCAGCCTTTTGTAGGTGACTCATCCCTATTCCAGCCTGCAGCAGCTGAAGAAACCCAACCAGACGTGGACTGAACTGCCTTTTCCGGAGTAGTTTTTTCATCCCAGCCAGATGTCAATTGAACTACCTTTACTTCTGTTGCTTTGTTATTCCAACCAGATGTTGACTGCCCTGGCTTTACTTGACTTGTTTTATTATCCCATCCGCTTTTTTCTCTCCCTTGGTTTGGCTGGTTATCATTTCCTGTGATCTTCTTCCCCCAAGAAGAAACAGTATCCCAGCCACTAGATTTGGGAGAATCGTCCAAGGTTTTCATATGGATGGAATCTTTTGTCCCCCAACCAGACCATTGTGGTGCATCACTAGATTCAAGTTTTTCAGATTCTTTTCCCATCGTTCCCCAGCTAGAGCCAGAATCCCAACCATTAGACTTGAAGGTCTTCTCTTCCACAGGAAGGGCATCTTGTATATCAAACTTTTTCCTTCCCCAACCAGACAATTCAGTTTGCTCTTTCACAGAAGTTCCATCCATTTTTGTGGAGCCACCTTGTGATTTAGATTTGCTCGTGCCCCAGTCAGACCACTCATTTTGCTTCTTCGAGCTGGATGCAGCTGCTGCAAAATTGTCACCGTCCTCTGCATTTTTATTCAATGCAGACGAAGCATCCCAACCAACATCCACTTTTGGAGGAACAACATCTTGCGATTTAGATTTGCTCGCCCCCCAACCAGACCACTCGTTTTGCTTCTTCGGACTGGTCGCAGCTGCTGCAAATTTGTCACCATTTTCAGCATTTTTGTTCCACGCAGAAGCATCCCAACCAACATCTGGCACCTTGTCTGAAGACGCAACTTTGTCCCAACTTGAACTAGCTGGCTGGCCATCAAAAGTATTCTCAAAATCAGCTGCGTCCTCAAACACCGGCTTATCTAAACCAGCTGTATGGTCTGGAGACAGACACCACTCGTCCACTTCATCTATGTCCATTAGATCATCAACTTCTTCTCCTAGGCAATCAGTATTAGAATGGCTTCCACCAGAACCACTAACCATGTGCAGAAAGTTGTAGACATCCATCCCACTAATTTGATCAGATCCAAACTGATAAATAAAAGCAATAATGAGAAAATGCTATACTAGAAATCGATGAAAGCCAATAGGACTTTTGTTGTTTGGACTCGATTGCAAGCGTCGGTTGCAGGTAGGCATCTAAGTGGATGACATGCTAACTACATGAAATAGAACACATGTGAATACAGGTATAAAGGGTCCAAAAGGAGGAAAAAGTTATGGGGATTCTTTAACCAAAATAAAATATTAAAATCCTTTTTTTTCAAGTAAAAATATTAAAATACTAATAAATGAACCAAAATGGGACAAATGAAAAGGACAAAGATGTTGGCAACCCAAGATGGAGGAAAAGAGAGGAACCAAAAAAACAAAGATGACATTAGATTATCAACCTTCTTATCTTATAACCATAACTGAGTATAAATTGTCAGCTTATTATTTGGCATGAAGATCTATAGCAACTGAAACCTAAAAGGGTATGGAACTGAAGCTAATTCAAGTTAGGGCAACAAGTTAGCGTAATTTGGTGGATTCAGACATCTCCAGCTGGTCCTACACAGATCCCATCCCACACCCATATTCCTTTTGACACTGAAATTCCATCAAAAATACCAAGTCCAAGCAACAATAGAGGATAAGAATGGGGAATATCATTAAAAAGAATTAACTTCAAATATGACATACCTCCTGATTCCACAGGAGGTCAAACCGTGAACCTGTTCCAACAGCCACACGTTTACCCCAAGAACAGGATGCAACTATGCTAGACAAGGAATCATCATGGCACTTCTCTGCAGCTCTTTCAAAGCACTTTCTTGGTGTCTGTGCAACCATAAAGAATTGATTAATTCAAAAGGAACAACGGTTTATCCAAGAAGGGAAATTCTGGTACTTCTCAACTTAGAAAGGATAACAAAATACTTACAAACAGCGTTGCCTCGGTAAATGGAACTTGAATATTCAACGAGCGAACTAGTGCTTTGTAACCACCAGAGTTGAAGCCAATCAAGTTTCCACAACATGTCATGCTGTTAGCTAAGAGCATGAGGTGTTCCCTTAGAACACCTCTCGTCACCATTGACACAGAAGTGGAGAGACGCTGTAAATTTGTCACAAAAAAGTGAGCACTTTCAGTGACACAAAGGTCTATAGACTGAAAAAATGAAGCTTTAAGATCATTTGTTATGATAGTAGTAAATACGTGCCACTATATTCATCCATTAACGGTAAGCAAAAGTTATGTTATAGTAGATGCCACATGCAAAAAATGCAAGACAAATATGAAAAGTATGCACATCTAAACAACCATCAAAACCCAGCTCTACACTTAATGTTTGGTTGAAACAAACCTGCACTGCTTGTTCAAACGCACAAGAAATTCCAAGCAGTTGTTCAACTTGCTTTATAGCATAAGGTATAGACCTCTGGGTGTCAATTATGTTTAGCACTGGAAGACAACAGTCAATGACAGTCCTCCAGGCATCACCGTTCTGCTTCACAGCAGATTTCTCCAAAACAACTTCCAAGGCCAATTCACCCTTCTGAGTCTTGCTTGGAATTCTTATCCAAGTTGTCGTATCCGGGTTAACCCAGATAATATTTGCTGAACAGATACGGGGGTCACCTGTCCATTAAAGATATTGAAACAGTAAATATCAAATTGCAAACACTGCCAAAAGCAACTGTCATAACCAGTTTCTAAGATTACAAGTAAAATATAATCGAGAGAGAAAGTATTCAAGACCAACTATTATAAGATTTGGAAAATTTAACAACTTGAGAACTGTACAAAAGTTGAAAATAATTATTCAAATAACAATAATTTTGTGGATATCTAAATGAGTTTTGTGGCCAACCCTTTCTTGAACCTCATCACTGCTTCCATGTGCATTAAACTCACAAAAATTAAAATAATAAAAAAATATGACTAGAAATAGGAGGAGATTATATCTGCAGCCCTTAACAACCTTAACTTGCTAACATAATTACATAATAAAAAAATTGAAAGAGAAAGCTAATGGATCATCACAGCTCCCTTGAAGTATACTAAAACCAAAATGTAGAATTCAAAACATAATGTTTCACCAAAAGAGAAGCCATATACCAAAAATCACAAAGAATAGGGCAATACCCTTGATCACTGCTTGTAGAAGAACAGGGTAGATGATATCAGCCATGATTTGTATAGCACTATCAAGATTATCATCGCTTGTATTTCGGAAAGAGAACATCAAGCATGGCATGTCAAGTCCTTTGTCCGCACAAGATTGCTGGATGGAACAACATTCACTGCCAAAAAAGTTTTAAAGAGAGGAGAAATGAAACATGTTACGACTGAGAAGTGTGGTGGATCAAGATATAATAGAGATTCTAGATGATAAGAAATGCAAACAAAGAGGAAGCCATGATGAACAGACATCAGATAAAATTAAATAGATAAAAATTGAAAATGCATTCTAAACGCAAACATCAAACTGCCTCCCAAATCTTTTCAGGTGGCAACTTGGTCCTTCCAAAGAAAAGACCAACATCAACAATGATTCTTATCAGGCAAAACTTTTACCAATACCACATCACATTCCAACCAAATAAATAACATAACACAGACAGATCACACAACATAAGGGTTCTAGTGCAAATGACCAACAGTCCAAGAAAATCAAACTCTACTAACTCTTGATTGGCTAACAGCCAGATAAAGCATGAGGTTTCATTTATGTTTTTGCTAAAAGGGAGAGCACAACAGCTAAAACCTAGGATTTCTAGCAATGTCTCACGTCCACCATTAACAATTGAGTTAAAGCCCAAGTGTTAAGAGGTTTTCAATTCACAGCATAATGAAACGCATAAGCAATTTTAAGACCCTAAAGGACAGAGAAAGTGCACCGGCGGTAAAATTGGAATATTTTCTCGAAACACTTTAACTAATAGGTTATTGTCAATAATTGGTACTTAGTCCGATTTTGACATGAGATCGGTTACTCAGAAAGATTTGGATTGTTGACAGTTGGCACTTAGTCCTTTTGGCATGAGGTCAGTAACGTAGAAGAACTTTGCATCTATTTTACATACACGTGATCATTGATGAGATGATAAGAACTTTGCATCTATTTTAGCATTCTAACAGTAACACCTAACGGAGAGTAGAATAAAGAGAACACATTTAGCCTGCCATAACAAGTTCCATTGAAGAAAACTAACCTGACAAACAAATCTGTCCTCCTAAAAAAATCAGCAGTCTTTTTCTTCTTGCGAAATGTGTTAAAAGTTTCTTGGCACTTCATATGAACCTCTTGCATACTAATACTTAACTCCTTCAAGAGAGCCTGTTTTATCACCACTTCTAAAATGAGATATCTTAAAAGAAGCAACACAGACACAATTTAAATTCTTAAATATATCCTAAAAGATACAATAATTTTAGGCCAAATATAGTAACCTTATTGAGGAGGATATGCCCAACAAGGCCTGCTTCTATGTCTGCTACAGTTTGCTGCTGCTTGTATCTGTGTGAAATGGGCTAAGGTTAGGACTTACTGCATTAGTTAAGCAAAACAGTAACCCTATATATATATATATATATTCTCCTTTTAACAAACAATATATTGGGGTAAAAAGGAAAATGAAACCCCAGAAACTGAGTGATTATGAGATTAAACATACTCAACGATGAACTCTACAGCAATATCTTTGAGTTTGACTCTTCTCAAATGATTCTTAACGAGATATGCTGCATTTTCTTGGCAATACTTTCTCCCACAATCACAATCATTCAAATACAGAATTACACGGCGGTCAATCGGGTCATTTTTGAAACTGACTTTGCACAGCAATATTTCCTGAAAATCAGAAAAATCACAAGTAATGGTAAGTTACATACAAAACAGACATGCTTAAGCACCACATAATCATTTCATCCTACACAAGACATAATGAACTAACAAAGAATACCTTCATCAGTTCCCAAGAAGAATTGCTACTAGGAGATGAATCGAGGACTGCTTTATATGCTGGATTCGACATCGCAGTAGCAGCTAAGACACCCACAGGCTCACCAGCAGGGAATTGAGGTCTAGTTCTAGCACTTAGTCCATATTGAAATTGTATTATTGAATTGCTACTGACATTTCTAACTGTGCCATCATAACAAATAACAACATCACGAAGGATGGCCATCAAATTCTTAAACAAGGTCCCTGGTTCAGTCAACCCTCTGGTGGAGCGAACCATTACTTCTCTAGTAGATATCGAATGAACCATGCCCTCATACGGATCAAGCCCACGGAAAAAGCAACTTTTAATCAGTCCAAACTCAGCAGAAGGATAATCGACTGCATCTGAAGGATATATGAATTGGAATTGGTATGCCACATCTTCAACCAAAGTCTTTGAGTAGAATTTTCCTTTATCTGAAAGTTGCATTCCCAAGAATCCAATCTGCTGAACAACCTTATTGACAGCAGAATCACTCTTAGAATCAATTAAATTACCCAAGGCTGATTTTAGTATGAAATCAGCTATTGGTGCTTTAGCTATTTTGATGTGGTTCTCAATTTGCAACTTGACCAATTCATTATATGTTGACCTTAACTGATAAAGCAAAGGAGAAATGGCCTGGATATCCTTCTGAATGTTTTCTATAACTTCCCTGGAGACAGAAAAATCTTCAAGACTAACAGTGAAGCCTTCCACAAAGATATTCTCCGTCAATAAAGGCTGTAAAGAATCAAAGAAGTTAAGAGCCTCCTTTGGACCCTTCTCATAGAAAATAGATGCAACGACCTCATTGATGACAGACTGCATTAAGTCCTTACTGAAATCAACTTTCAATATATCGCTTTTTCCAATTAAGTATCTATCATTGGAGCAATCTAGGCAGGCAGGAAAAGCAGTCTGTAGAATCTGAAAAGCTGTCCAACAGGGACCAACGTGATTACCCTTCAAAAAAGCAGGTTGTGGCAAAGCTGAAGAGAGAAACATGGACAATTGTTGAGCATCTGCTTTTCTAAACAAAGATGTCTGAAGCATAACTCTCAGTGACAACAATGAATCAGTAGCCAACTGCAAATTTAGGTTGCCACTATGAGAGCTAAGCAACTGCTTCTCCACCGAAAAGAGCTCATAAACTTCTGCTTTTGCTGATAAAGACTGCGGGTAGAACAAGTGAATACAATCTCCATCAAAATCAGCACTTAGTGGCCCACAAATTAGGGGATTTATCTTCACTGTATGATCATCATGGATATATACTGAAAGTGCCTGCAATGAATGCTTGTGTGTGGTTGGTGGCCTATTTATGAAAACAATGTCCCCATCCATAATCCGACGATGTACCACCTGACCAGGTCTCAAAAAGGTATGCCCCTTTGAACCCTCCCTCAGTGAATATGTAGAGGAGCCATCTTTGTAGGTCAAACACAAGTTGTTATCTACCAGATTTTGCAAATATCTCATGTTGTGTATGTTGACCCTCTCCTCATAAGTAATTCTCTGAGCAATTTCGGATGGAATACCAATTTCGTTCACTTTTTTGTATACATCCCCAGTAATCACACTACGTGAAGAGAATCCTGAACCCTTTCTGATGAATAAAGTCCTCATCTTCTCAAGCCATGCTTTTGTTGAAGAATCACTGGCATCTTTGTTAACCCCATATCGCGCATCTATGTTGCGCGATGCCTTAACAGTACCCCTAACTTGAAGATATTGCTCAACTGCTGATTGCAAATCATTAGCTTCTACTTCGTGAGATTCAAAATTTGGGGTACCAGACCTCGAGCTTTTTATTATCTCAACTTGTTTCAGAACCTTTCTCAGCACTGATGTAGAAAGATCCTAGCAAAAAAAAAAAGGAAATGATGTTCAACCATGGAAAAGATAACACTAACATCATCCAACATAAAACATCAAGATAAGCAACCTCTTTGGTTCATAATACACTTACCGACGACATAACACTCACACCATCCGAAATGTCTGGGATAGATAAACAATTTGGAGGAACTGGCAAATACTGCAAGATATATCCCTCTTGTGGGAAGAACCCTTTCCCAGAAAGCTTTCGTCTTGTCTGTGCAGGAATTCTCTTGAGTATTTCCATAACCTATTAGCATTTTCAAATAAATAGAACTTAACCCTGAAACCATTGATATTTCACTAAAGACCCAATATCAAAAAGCTATTCACAAGACAGACTATAAAACAGTTCAGGAAACTTAATGCTATCCTGATGATAATCATTCAAGATTCAGTAAAATTTAGAATCCGTCCAACAAATCAACTCTCACATCAGGATGTATCAGGAACTAAAAGTTATTATTTAAACAGATGCATTTGGGTATATTTAAGAGATAATATATAACTAAAAACCAAGTTGTTGATTCTTGAAATCAAAGAAATATGAACAAAAAATCAGTCAGACTTGAATATGCTACTGTCTACTTTAACAGACTACCACTAAACTGAACTTAATGATACTAATACAAGTAAATGCATGTCCAGGTGCTTAATTACATGCTCTGTTGCAGTATGATAAAAAAATTAAAAACAGAAGCCACAACGTAAAGCTCAAAGTAAAACAACAAATCATGAAAAAATTGGGAAAATAAGAGAAGTATAAAGTCAATGGCACACAATGACTCGCATCAAATCTCTACAAACATGAACAACATTAAAGCTAAGGTCAAACACCAAAAGGTGAGAGAACTTGAAGACAAACCTCACAAGGCAGAAGAGGTCGAGTATGACTGTCACCGTAGCGGAAACCATATCTCTCTAAAAAATTCCAGTTAGTTTTTGATTGTTTAGATGGCTGCTTCAACTCCAAATAACAAGCACCATCTGTCGTTTTAACTTCTCTGATTGAAACTTGTGGAGTATACTTGTAAATCAAAAGAGTACATGATGAGAAAACAAAAGAATAACACACCTCCAACATAAATTAAAGAGAACAAGTACAAACAAATTAGTCCATTTCCAGCTAACATTGAGAAATAATTCTCCTTGAATACAAGTCACAAGATTACGAATCGGCCAATCAGATATTATACTAGACATCCCATTATGTGTAATTTACACAATTTCAATTGTTACTCCATGTAAATATCTTCAAAAGTTACCCTTAAATTAAAATTGATTATCATATTCCCACTATTTTGCCTCTCTTTCATCTGAAACAGTAGGCTCTAGAAACACTCCCATCCCGCATCATGACCAAACAGTTAATATGGGGATAGGAACTGTTTGCGTGCATGCAGTCACAAGCAAAATAGTAAACATCATCAAAATTCAAAAATGATAAACTGCAAATAGTAAACATGGGTACTGCAAATCAAACAATCAAAGAATGTTTGGCATTTCAAACTCACCTCACAACATGATGATAGCAATCTTTCAGCGACACTGCCACTTTTAATCTGAAACTGATATGCAAAAGTCTAATAACTACCAAGCAAATAAAATACATGAGCAGATTTAGCAGCATGCTAAATAGTTTAAAGTAAAGAATTAAGAATCCAAACTTTCACAAATAATGTTTAATAAAAATTAAGGAACATAATCATATAAAAACAGCAGGGCATTGAGCTCAGAGTTTCAAATTCTCCACAGGATAAATCGAAGCATTTCTAGAAATTTCCACAAGATTAAACACTTTCTTACAGAGACATCGTTTATATATTTAAACTTTAATTCATGTTTTGTGCAAATAACAGGATGGCATAAGCTGAATTGCTGATCTTAGTTCTAGAGACAAAATTAGTAGAAAAGAGGGAGAAAAAGTAACTTGAAACGGAAAGAAAAATGGGATGGCAAATTTATCCTGGGGCGGTGAGAGGAAATAGAGAAACCTCTAATCACTTTAACTGCTGGTATGATTTTAACCTGTTTTAACCCTACACAAGTTAGCCACTACAATTGGCAAGGTAAAAATAAAATAATTATGATATTCTCATAGTCAAACCATTGTTTATTGTGATATTTATCTTTTTGATGAGCTTCTCAATTTATAATTTTCTAAAAATTTATAGATACAAGAAGTAAACATCCTATGAGGCTTATACCCCAGCATCCCACGATTTATGTCAATGTCCTAATGGAGCATGGAAAATTGATTTACATTTCAACCTAAAATGCTGCACAACCTGTGACAGCACCATACATCTTCGTTTTTTTTATAGGAATAGAAGGCCTCAATAAAACCCCCTTCGTGATTAACGGAACTTAAAAATAGTTCCTTAATCCGCACAAGGAGGAAAAGAGTGCCCTAGGATTCATTAAACTCAGATATGACAAAGTAATACAAACTAATCTCCCTCAAGAGATACAAAACCAGAAAGAAACAGCCCTTAACAGAACATAATTCAACCAATACCAGCCTTAGCTAGGACATCCGCCTCTATATTGGCTGTCCTACTAACCCAACTAATAAAACCTTCAAAAACACTAAGCTTTTGAATAATGTCTTTAACAATTTGAACATAAACAACAGGACGAGACCACATCCTTAACCCGGCCAACTGCTACCTTACTATCACTCTCAATAATCAATCTATCTTTAAACCTATGACACATAGATTCATAAAAATTTAAGCCCTTTAGGATAGCCTTCAATTCCATTAAAGTTGGGGGCCCCGGACCAGCAGGCTCTTTGAAGGAGCCAAGGATCGAACCAGACATGTCTTTCAAAATACCACCTAAGCCACTCCTCTTCCAATCACTCGAGGTAGCCGCATCCACATTAAGTTTAATAAAACCTTTTGGAGGAGGGGACCAAGGAAACACGGTTGAAATCCGATTAGAATGGGACGAGTAGGAATCCACTAAGGACGGGTCGGCAATAAGATCATCCTTGGAAATAGTAATATGAGTTTCCTTAGCTAGAAACCATGAAGCAAGCCTGCACCTAGCTAGAAAGAAAATCTTCCTCAACTAATGAAAAAAATGTCTGAGGGATCAGAGTTGCTTTCTTGTACAAGGCGATTTCAAACAAGATCATTTATAATAGATAATGCAATAGTTGATAAGCTAGTACCTTGTTCTTCAATTGTAGGCACTTCAAGCAAAGCAAACTCAACAGTCGCTTTAATTCATTGATATGGCTAGGATGATATATTGGTATTGGTAATTCAATATATCCAAAATGACCTGAAAGCAACAATAAATGAAAAGTTAGTCATTTCCAAGATATTCTCAGTGACATTTTCGTCCTTCATTATATATATACATATTTGTATTGTTTTCAACTTTTATTGACTAGGATAGAAGTAAGCACCTTCACACTGTCCAGGTTCAGCTGTACCACATGCACTACATTTTCCAAATTCAAGAGGCAAACCAAGGTACGAATTTGAGAGCTGACTGACATGGTTAATAGGAAAGCCACTTATTGATGATGTTAGCTGTGAATAAATTTTGGGAGATGGAAAAAGTCAATTAGCATCAAAGAAAGAACTATTGCATAATAAAAGACAATGAAAAAAAAGGTTCAAATTAACAATAATAATTTGAGGCCCTAATGCATCAAAATTAATTTGCATAGAAAATGATGTTGTTAAATCGAGTGATTTAACAAGTTCCAAGCCTTTTTTAGGAATCAAATAGGAGGATTATTTTTGCGTATGGGGTGGAGGTCAGGTAGTGAAGAATCAAAAAGCTTATAGAGCATTTTCAATATTTTTGAAATCACCAGAAACTAGGGTCAAATATGGTGAGAGAGAGCGTCTTAGGAGGTCCGTCCTCCAGCGAGGATTGGACGGTGCTTGTAGATAATCTTAGGAAGAGAGTCACTTGGAGAACATTAAAGGAAATTTTTAGTCAACAGGGTAGTGTTATGAGAGTTTACATCCCGAATAGTTCTAACAAGCCAAATTATAGAGATCATACGTTTGCGTTCGTTCAGTTTGAGAAGGAGGATGGAATGAAGAAGGCGATTGAGAATGTTAATGGTATTTGGATTGATAGGAAGAAAGTTTCGGTATGTGTAGCTAAATATCGGAGGCAGAGGCAAATGCTAGTAGTTGGAAGAAATTCCAGAAAAGATGATGATAAGTTGAGTAAGGGAGCGAACTGGAGGAGTAGAGTTGGATCTCAGTCTTTCAGTCGTTTGAGGGATGAAAGGTCATATAAGGATGCTTTAGTCTCGTCCGATGGGACGAGGAAAGGTCCGGTGGAGGAAAATATTAGGGTGGGTCACCCTGGTAAAGATGCTGGAATGAGAAATCTTTGGGAGATGCATATTCCCTCAGATGAATGGGATTGGGTGAAGAGATCATTGATTGGGATTATCAAACCACACTCTGATTTGGAGTTAATGTTGAAGGGATTGGCAAGTGATGGGATCAAGGTTAAGGGAGCTAAGTGGGGTTATGCGTGGAACTCTTGCATATTAACCTTTGATTCGGTGGAAGATTTTAAAGAGGCGTGGTCGAGCAGAGTAGAGGAATTATCCTTCTGGTTTGATTGGATTGATTCTCTTTTGAATGATGATGGGGTACCGATGGCGTTTTGTTCGGTTGAGTTAGTTGGAATCCCCTTATTATGCTGGAATGTTTTTTCTATAGAGAAACTTGTCTCAAGGTGGGGGAAGTTAGTCTGTATCAACGATTCGACGATGAAAAGAGAGGACATGGCGGTGGCAAGGGCCTTGCTGAGGGTGGCCAGTCCCTTTGATGTACAAGAGTCTGTTATTTTGGGCTCGTATGGGAGATCTTTTAAGGTCAAAATTAATGTGGGGTCGGTCTATATAAAACAGGAAAGTTTCTCAGTAGGAAACGCAACGGTGGCCGGCGAGGATATGTTCAGAGATGATGAAGTTTCAGAGGAGGAAGAAGACATGTGCTCTGATGGGGTTGGTAGACCAGACTTGCCAGCTGAGGATACTAGGGATAGTGTTGACAGATGGTTAGTAGGGGATGTAAGTACAGCTGTATCAGGCGGCAAAGGGGGTCAGAATTTAATATGGCAGGAGGGAGAAGGTCAACATAGTGGACTAAAGATGTCAGACTGTCCAGCAGAGGATTTGAATTTGAGAGGGAATTATCAGGGTATTGGGATTAGGAGTAATTTTTCCAATGAAAGTGATAAAGCCCAATCAGAGGACTTGAGTGAGCCCATTAGACTATCAACTGCTGGGCCAGTTGTCATTTTAAATCGACTGGGTTGTGGTAGACTTATAGAATCCCGGGTGGAGGAACTAGGAGACTCACAGAAAAAGGTGATGGACGACTCAAATAGGCAGGATCAGGATATAGCTTCGCCTGAATTCAACTCAAATTTGCTTTTTGGTGGAATTAACGTCAGTCTACAGACTAAGTTTACAAATGAGGATATGGTAGATGAAAGAGTAATTCGGGAGAAGGAAGTTGGTAGAGCAGAAGGAACAGAGGTGGAAAGGGTTGAAATTCCAAATTTATTGGCTGGTACTCAGGGGCGGAGTATTAATAAGGAGTCTATTTCTTATGGTTTAAAAAGAGGTTTTCTTAAGAATAAGAAGTTAAGGATTGCTCCAACTTGGTCTGATAGTTATTGTTCGGAGGGTGAAGTTTCATTTTGTTTCCATGATCGAATTTATGAAAGACTTGATAGAGGTTTGGACAGGGAAAATATGGATCAAAACAGTGTTAATTCTGTGTTCTCACACAAATCTGTCGAAGCAAGATTGGAAGCTGCTGCTACTAGGGATGTGTGTGATATGTTGGGGATCTCTTTCAAAGGGGGTAATCATGTGTTGGAAGAGGAGATCTTGATGATGGAGCTAAAAGGGCCTCTTAGAAGCTCTTGACTGATTTTTACAGGACGGTAAAGGTTTGGTGCTATTGTTAATTATGTCACAAATCAAATTGATTTCATGGAACGTTAGGGGGTTTGGTAGAAAGGAAAAATCCAGAGCAGTTGCAAGATTAGTTTCAAAAATCAAACCGATGATTATGTTTCTTCAAGAAACTAAGTTGAATAAATGCCAAAAGGGATTGTTAAGGAAGTTAGGGGGTAACTTCTTGGAAGGTTTTAGTTTTCAGCCGGCTACTGGTTATGCAGGGGGCTTAATATGTCTGTGGAATGAAAATATGTTTGAAGTAAGCAGGGATTTTAAACACAATAAATTCATTGCGTTATCAGGAAGGGTTAAGAGTCTCAACTTTGATTGTGTTGTTATTAATGTGTACGGACTGTCGGTTGAGGCTGATAAAGAGGAATTTTTAAGAGAGCTGATGTGTTTTATACAACAGCTTGATTTGCCTGTATGCCTAGGGGGGGATTTCAACGCTTATCTAGATCCCGAGAAGAAGATTGGAGTTGCTCAGAATTGGCATTCAGTGGAGTTATTCTCCAACTTTGTCCTAAATTTAAACCTTATGGATCTACCTTTAGTTGGAGGGAGATTTACTTGGTGCAATAATAGAGAAGCTCCCACGTGGATTAGATTAGATCGGTTTCTATTAAGTGGTGCGTTTTTTCAGGTATTTCCAAAAGTTATCTAGAAAGTGTTGCCAAAATCCTTATTTGATCATAATCCTATACTACTTGAAGAAGATCTCAAAAATTGGGGCCCCAAACCTTTCCGGTTTTTTAACTACTTACTAGAGGAGGATGGGTTTAATGGAGTGGTTCAAAATGATGTGTATGATCTAAAGAGGGAGAATGCCCGAAGGGGTATGCTGAGTATTCTTCAGGGAACAAAGAAAGCGATTAAAATGTGGCCAAACAGTAACAATATGGGAATTTCAGAACAGATATCAGAGCTGGAAAACAGGATAAATGACTTGGAATTAAAGTCTTAGGGTAGGGGAATTTCTGCACAAGAATGGGGTCAACTATTATCTTGGAGGAATGATTTGTGGAGTTTGCATAGGAAGGAGGAGAGTATTTGGTTCCAAAAATCATGTCTTAAATGGATTAAGAAAGGGGATAGAAATACCAGATTCTATCACATATGTGCTCTTAATAGGAATAGAACGAATGCTATTTCGTCTTTGAAAGTGGTTGGGATAGATATCTCTGATTAGATCAGCTATCTTTGATTTTTTTAAAGTCAATTACAATGAGAAAACATCTCTGGAGGTGGATGAATGTAATCTGAATTTCGCAAAATTGACAGAGGAACAAAAGACTGGGTTACAGGCTGATTTTTCTGAACAGGAAGTGTGGGATGCTGTCTTTAAGTTGGATAGTGCTAAGGCACCTGGTCCAGATGGGTTTACAATGGGTTTTTTTAAAAAATTCTGGACTATATTGAAGGACCAGATCATGCAGTTTGTTCAAGATTTTCAGAGGGGGAAAAAATGGGAAAAATGAGTGAATCATTCATTTATTACTTTAATTCCCAAGAAGGTTAATCCTCAAGGAATTGAGGATTTCAGACCTATTAGTCTTGTTGGCAGTCTTTACAAGATTATTTCTAAAGTACTCTCCAAAAGGCTTGTCTCTGTTATTAATGGTTTAGTAAGCCCTTCACAGTTCGCATTTATTCCGGGTAGACAATTGCTAGATTGTGCTCTGTTGGCAAATGAAGGCATTGAATATTGGAGAAAACTAGGGAGAAAAGGAGTTGTCTTTAAAGCTGATTTCCGTAGGGTTTATGATTCGGTTGAGTGGCCTATCTTATTCAGAATTATGAAGGTTATGGGTTTTGGGGAAAAATGGATCTCATGGATTAAATGTTGTGTTTCTTCTGCCTCTATTTCGGTGTTAGTTAACCGTTCACCTACTGAGGAATTCAATATTAGCAAAGGGTTGAGACAAGGGTGCAGTCTTTCCCCTCTCCTGTTCAATTTAGTGGGGGAATTATTAAATCTTATGTTGATTAAGGCTGCTGATATAGGTCTGTTTCAAGGGTTCAGCATTGGTAGGGTTGGTAATTCCTTTTAGTTGTCACACCTACAATTTGCAGATGATTTAATCCTTTTTTGCAGAGATTCTTCAATGCAAATTCTAAATATTAGGAGAGTATTGAGGGTTTTCGGTGCTATGTCTGGGTTACACTTAAACTTGTCTAAGTGTTCATTATTTGGGGTTAATATGGAAGCTGACAGGGTTAAAGATTGGGCTATGAAAGCGAGCTGTGGAGTGGGGTCTTTTCCAATGTCTTATCTTGGTTTACCGATTGGAACTAGGAAAAAATCAGAGGGTATGTGGGAACCGGTTGTCCAGAATTTTAATAAGAGATTAGCTGGGTGGAAAGCTAAATCGTTGTCGCTGACGGGCAGACTTGTTTTGGTTAAATCCGTATTATCATCCTTGCCAATCTTTTTTCTATCTATTTTCAAGATCCCTCTAAAAGTGACTCAGAAGTTGAACTCGTTGATGGCTAACTTTCTTTGAGGTGAAGATCTTGATAAAAAACGAATTCACTGGGTGAATTGGAAATCGGTTAGTAAACCAATCGAAGAGGGTAGTCTGGGAATTCTTGACTTAAGGTTGATTAATAGGGTCCTACTTGGGAAATGGGTTTGGAAATTTGCTAATACTGTGGAAGAATATGATTTGCTGCAAAAACAACGTTAGCAGTATGTCTCTTTCAATTTCAAATGCGGCTTTACCTTTAGACTCCTGGATATGGAGAGGTATCCTCAGTAACTATGCTAAGAATGATCAGATTGGTGATTGTTTGAGACAGAATTCAAAGATGAATCTGGGAAATGGTCGGCCAATTGCTTTTTGGAGTGATGTTCGGATTACTAATCTGCCTTTAAAAAACCATTTCCCCAGAATATTTGCTTTGTCGACGAATAAATGGGGGATGGTTTCTGAGTTTGGGGAGTATGAAGATGATGTCTGGGTTTGGAACATTCAACTTAGAAGAAATTTGTGTGATTGGGAATTGGACCAGTGGATCGCTTTAATGTCATTGATCGACAAAATTTCGTTGGAACGATCTGTGGATGACTTCATGGGATGGTCAGGAAAGGGGGATGGCATGTTTTCGGTCAAATCCTGTAGACAGTCGTTACAAGGTGGGTCGGAAGAGAGTTATGAGTGGAAGAAGTGGGTTTGGGATGGATTGGCACCTCCTAGAGTACAAACTTTTTTATGGCAGATCTGTCATCAGAAATTAGCAGTTAGAGTGGAATTGAAGAAAAGAGGGATTCAGATTTCGGAGGTTTTGTGTCCATTATGTCTTTCTAAGGATGAGTCTATTGCACACCTATTCCTATCGTGCACTGTTGCCTCGGATTTGTGGAGCAAATTCCTAAGGTTATGGAATATCTCTTCGGTGTTGCCTCAAGACCCTTATGCTATTATGTGCTCGTGGTCGAACCTAAGGCATAATTCACTTATTTGGAGGTTTATTCCAGCTGTCATCTTCTGGTCTATTTGAAAGGCAAGAAATTTGGTTGTTTTTGAAAACGGCAAGTGTGACTCTAATGTTCTGTTCTTTATCACTAGATTTAGATTGACGAAATGGTTTTTAGCTAAATACCCTGGGGTTCGGATTCAGACTGACCTTCTAGTAGGGGATCCTACGCGGGCTGATAAACTCCTCCCTAGTTCGAATACTAAAAAGGTTATTGGCTGGACTCCTCCACCATCGGATATGTTCAAACTTAATGTTAATGGGGCAGTGACTGGAGATGGGATGCAAGGTGGTATTGGTGGTGTTTTGAGAGACTCCTTTAGTTGCTCTTTAGCTAATTTTTCTTCTGCAGTAGGGTCAGGTCTCCCTATAGTGACTGAACTAAAAGCTATTAAGAATGGATTGGTCTTTTTCTTTTCTTCCAATTGGGCTAACAAGGGTAGACTTATTTTGGAAAGTGATAGCAAATGTGCAGTGGAATGGATTTTAAAGCTACAACCTGCTCCTACTTTTTTCAGTGATTTGGTGGAGGAAATTGGAGTTCTTGTTACTGCTAAGGGCGTCGTTCTTAGATGGGTTCCTAGGAGTTGCAATATGGAGGCTGACAGGTTAGCTAAGCAGGGGATCGGTTGAGTGTTGCAGGCTTTCTGTTGAGTCTAATGAACTAGCTGAGGATGGGTTAGGCTGAGGGGTCTTTGTTTCCCATCGCTATTTGTATTAATGTTATGTTTTATTATCGAGGGTTAGAGTGTTATGTCTATCTTATGTTATTCAGGGTTAGAATGTATTGTGTATATTATGTAATTCTGGTCTATTAATAAATTGAGGTACTCTTTTCCTCCCTCAATTAGTTACCACTTATCAAGAGTCAACTATGAGGGAGGTTTTTAATGAGACCTCCTATTCCTATAAAAAAAAAAGGAATCAAATAGGAGGGGAAGGGAACAGTAAAATAAGAAGTGTCCAAAAATCATGTGACACGATCAACAAAATGACAACAAACCAAAGGGGAAGAGTATTGCTATATGGAAACAAGCTAATGAACAAATAAATGAAAAGGACAGATTCAACTTACAATTTCTTTAGGAGTTGCCAAGCAGAACTTTATACCAGTTATCTCACCATCTAAAATAGTTGACGAAGAATTTTCCTCCATATCTCTCACTTCAAACTATAAGACAAAACTGTGCAAAGAAACAATCTAAGAAGTATAACGATAAGGAGAAAAATATCTTTAAAAAAATACACAAGATGGACAAAAAAGCCAATGCTGATGACATTAAAAGTTTAAAACCATCAGAAGCTTTCTCCCTATAACTACATTCAAAAGCTTTACAAATGCCAGAACCCACATGGTATCATATGATCATCTTAGGGACTAATGATAAGGACAAAATTAATTGTTTTACAAATCCACCTCAGTCTAGGGTTGTACAGCTAAAGCCCTATGTTACTCAGACTCAGTGACAGATATATGTATGTGTATGCGTTTGAGACGCATTCAATTTTTCCTGTGTTTTCTCATGTATTTTGAAGATCATTCCTCCATACCCATTTCTTGATATGTTTCATACACGGTACTTCAAGGAAAATAGAAACAGCTGAAGTAACATGACCTGAGCCTATTCAATCGCAAACAACTATATCAACTCAATAGATCAGAGCAAAGCTAATGTGCTAAACTTGAGTCTGCAAGTTCTCCATGAATAATTACACAAGTGACAGAGAAGTCTATAAGAGAAGTCTATAAATTCCAGCACACAGAAAACAAATCATTGCTTTGTAGATTCCGTCAGCTAACTTATCAAGATCTGATTTTTATCCCTGGGGATGAAATGGATCTTTCAACCAATTAAGCTCATTCCAACATGTTTAATCTGCTTAATCATACTTCTAAACATCATAGGGGCTGCAATAGGATCATTCGCCCACCTGACTATGATTCATCTAATTATATAGACAATCTTAATTTTAAGGGGATCAAAAAATTACTCTTTCAAACCCAGGAAGCATGGACTTATCTTGGTCCATCTCTTTATTTTGCTTAAAATACATGTCTCCATCAGCCATGTCTAACACAGTTCCAGACAAGGATACAAGAGTATGACCCTCCAAGCACATAAGTATATACGTAACCAACAGTCACACTTGAGCCCAAGTAACATAATCATGAATATCCGCAAAACAGTAGCTACATTTATGTCGAAAATATATATTTGGTTTTTCCATTAAACAAAATAGTAGGCTGAGACAACATGATGAAAATCAATAGCCAAAAACAAGAAATTTTAACTAGCTAACTTCACAAAATCATAATGCAAAGTAAGCAGCAAAGAGATTAAGGGAGATTTTTTCCCTATTATATCAGGAATAGGAAAAGACTCGCACCGAGTAAGGTCAACAAAGCACTCTCTACTCCAGTAGGAAGATACACAAAGAAAAAGCAAGATAAAAGACATGCATGACTCATAAGCAAAACTAATAACCAAACGGAAGTTGACTAACAAAACAAAAATGGCTCAAATCCCTTGCACATCTCTTTGTGTTTCAAATCAACTTTCTCACCAAAGATTACATGAGGAAGAAAGGGTTAAACAAGGAGCAGAAGGAAAAGGGTAAAAAGCCAATACCTCCAAATTCTTCTTCCTCTTAGTCTACCTCAATGAAATAACCTGAAAAAGCAAAGAAACCCGGCAAATGGGTTTTTAAGAGAAGTCAAACCTTTTCTTGGTTCCCCATAGAATGAAGAAAGAAACACCGTAACATATCCAGTAACAAGCCAAAAAAAAAACAAATAAAAACTCAACTCAAAAATTGTAATAAAAAAAAAGCAAATTTCAACAACTTAGGGAAAAGAATACCGAGAACTTTAAGAAAATGTCATCTTTTTTCTCTCCATTTTCCTCATATCTTTAGTTCAATTTCCAAAATACCCAAACATTAATAAAAATAAAATGAAATCGTAAATTGTGCTCATAAGACTTTCAATAAATTACCTGAAATGTCTTTGTTTCCTTCTGAATTTTCTGAGACTAAGATTTTGAAACACTTAAAACCCTAAAACCCCATAAAATAAAAGAGAGGAAGCCAAATGGGTTCTCAATGTACGAGCCAGAAATGACTGATCAAACGAGAATGTGTAATGGGTGGGGAGAAGGGAAGAGCAAAATGCAGCCAGACTAATGATTTTCTTTCAAATAAAAATTCCTTCCATGATTTCCTACAATCTTCCCCTCTTCCTCTCCCTACCTAAAAGAAATGAGAGCAGAAGCACCGGAGAAGTGAAAACACACAAAGATCTGGAGAGTCAAATGACAGAGAAGATCATGCAGAGAATTGCACTGCACGGGTGTTTTGTTTATATATAATTCCTAAATTAACTATAACTTCTGAAAACTCTTAAAAGCGCATTTAAATTCACAGCCTCCATAGGTTCACAACAGAGCAAATACTGGATATTTATAGGGTACATCACACTTATGGTAATTAAATTATGTTTCAAGTATCATTTTGATCACTAAATTTTCAAAAGATGTAAAATGGTCAACACATTTTTCAAATTTATACAATGATCGTTAAATTGTTACAATTAAGTTATCAACAGAGCTAATATTCGATATTTAATAGGTTAAAGTACACTAGATGTCACTAAACTATACTCAAATTATCATTTTAGTCACGTAACTTTTAAAAGTTATAAAATAATTTTAAATTTTTTAAATAGTTATAAAATGATCATTAAGTTTGATCTACTCTTACAAAGTATTTTATAACAGTTTGGTTAAAATAATGATTATTTTATAATTTTTAAAATATAAATGTTAAAATAATTATTTGAACATAATTTAATGATATATGGTACATTTTACATAATATAAAAACAATGTAGGATAAAATTATGGTCTAAAATTAAATGAAAATTGATATTAATTGAATAGAAATTATCATTCAGCTCAGTTGGTAGAGCACAAGGTTCTTAACCTTGGAGTCGTAGGATCGAGTCTCACGGAGGGCATTTCATAATTCGGAGATTTCCTACGAAAACTGCTCTCAACTTAGTATTTTGAGGGCATCCTACTATCTTACCTCCCCTTACTCCATTACATATGGAAATAAGGGTCAGCTAAAATTTTTGATATTAATTAAATATTTAATGTCGGTTGAACGTAAATAAGTGTATAACAATCTTTCATATGGAGGCTCCAAATTATTGGTTCGAGGGGTCCTTTTACTTTGAATACCGTAAAAAGGTTAAGGGTAAAGAACATAAATGTTACCTCAATTATATATGTTATTTTATTGAGTCCTTCAATTATTAAAAGTTATGAAATGATCTCCGACTATATGATATTATTTTATTGAGTCCCTCAACTATTAAAAGTTACAAAATGGTCAGCTGACTACCATATGTTCGAAACTCGTATTTTTTCGTTAAAAATTTGACGGTTTTATGAGTTTGATGTTAATATGTTGACTGAGATATGATCAAATTTGATCCCATATCTGTTATAGCTTTATTTTGCGGATCAATTCTTTATTTACATTATGTCGTTGAGCTAGTGCTTGAAACAGTATGACATCGAACTAGTACTTGAAAGCAACGACGATACCAATAGACATCGTTGAAATATGATTTTATCATATCCTAACCAGTAGACATCATTGACCATTATTTAACGAAAACTTATTAACATAACATATGAATAGTTGAGTAATCATTTTGTAACTTTTGATAGTCAATGACTCAACAAAGCAACATCTTATAGTCAATTGACCATTTTGTAACTTTTAATAATCGATGAACTCAACAAAATAATATATTATAGTCAATGAATCATTTGTATACTTTTTCCAAAAGTTAAACTACATTAACTTCAATTATTTTTTATCGTTGAATTCTAAAAACTTCATAATTATAATATTGAATTTTTGGTTAATTTTTTTTTATCCTGAGTCATTAGTTATATATATATATATATAACAATTAAGAAACCAGGACATTCATAATCAAAGTAGATAGATTGATTGAAAGAAGACGACCACTGCCCGAGGACATGGGCAACATTGTTGGCAGCATTGTTTCAAATTGCGGTGGCATTTTCGATCATTTCGAGTTTATCGTAATTGTGGTTGTCGTGGGCGTTATTACGAGTATAGTGCGTAACTCGAACGACGGCAAAACCATTATTTCGTGGGTGCTATTACGTTTTCGGATCGTGATTTGAAATTCTGGTTGGCAGTACGTCGAACAAAATGAACTCAGACAAAGGGATGCGCATCCAGGAGATCACGAGCAGCAATGAAATAGAAACGAGCCACGGGTAAATCGGTACGATACGACGAGGGTGAAACTGTCGAACCAGATTCATGGAGTCGCTACAATAACAACATCGGCTGAAAGTGTCATGGCAAGATGAACGCCCTCAACCAAAACGATAAGCTGTTGTAGCATTTTTAAAAATACCAAATAATCCGAATATTTTCTCTCATCTATCGTGTTGTGGAATTCGTTAATTTCCATAAATTATAACAAATTCAACTTAAAAATTATTATCTAGGTGACTAGTGTGAAAACGATTGTACTAAAAATCACCCCAAGGTAGATTCCCAGGAAAAGTGGAGAGGTCACAATGGTTCCTCTTAAAACTCACATTCCTTAGACAAAATTACCAAGACAAGTAATTTTAATAGGACAATAATTAACAACAACTATACCCGACAATAGCCATTAAATAGACATAAAAAAGAACATCAAAATTTAACGAGGTTAGGCCAAAATTATGCCTACGTCCTCGAACATTACTAAAATAATATTTCACTAATAGAGGAAATATTACAAAGAGAGAGAAAGAGTACAAATAGCCTTTAATATATAATAATACTTATATTTGTGGGATGCTAAACTAAAGATGAGTGCTCTATTTATAACAAAAGAATTTTTCCTCCTCTTTATACAAAATCAATGTGATATTCAAAATTTACCAAAAAATCAACATATCGTTCATTTCATCTTACTTAAATAATAATAATTTCAGCAGAGCCCCATACAAACTATTATTTTTCCAACATATTATCACATCAAATTTGTCGAAGAAAAATAGACCTTCAACAGTTGGTACCCTGAACTTAGCTACTATATTGTCACCAAACATGAGTAGCATAACATATACATATTTAGGTGGGCAGCACGTTACCATAATTGTAACATATTCAACTCCTTTGGCATTCCCTAAATAATCACACACATATATATATATATATATATATATATATATATATATATTCTAAATCATAATTCCAAAAGCGAGAAAATTTTAATTTCAAATCGAAAAATTGAATTTCAATCATGTCAACTTTTCGATCTTATGGCAAAGTCAATGAATTCGATAAAGCAATGCTCGAAGCTGAGCGTAAAAACACCAGGAAAAGAATCGCCATTATTTTCGTTTCTTTCCTAGTTCTTACCGCCATCATCGTCGGAGCTGTTCTGGGAACCACTCGAAACTCTAAAGGAGACACTACCACCACTAAAAACGGCGGAAACAGCCTATCTCCGCCCATCTCCACCTCCATCAAAGCCGTTTGCGATGTCACTTTGTATAAAGATTCATGTTACAACAGCCTTTCTCCAATGGCGAACTCCACCGAACTTAAACCCCAAGATATCTTTGGGTTATCGATGGAAGTTGCGGTTTCCGAGATATAGAAAGCGTCTCGATATTTCTCTGACGACAACGGAGCTTCTAAAGGCGACAACATGACGGTTTCCGCCATGGAGAATTTTCGTGAGCTGTTAAGTTTAGCCATCGATCATCTCAACGACTCATTATCGACATCGTCAATGGCGACTTTTATAGAAACCTCCGTCGACGATCTCCGAACATGGCTGAGTTCCGCAGGAACGTATCAGCAAACATGCATCGACGGGTTCAAAGAGATCGACGATGAATCCGTCGATAACCGTCTAAAACTCTCTTTCGAGTTAACAAGCAACAGTCTAGCCATTATCACATGGATTTCGAAGGTTACTTCAGCGTTTAACCTAAACCGTCGAAGGTTGATGATCTTGGAGCATCAATGGCCGTTGCACGTTGAAAGGGTGTTGGCCGAAAGCTCGGATAAGTTGAAGAAGAAAGCCGATATAATCGTAGCGAAAGATGGATCGGGTCAGTACAAAATGATAACGGAAGCCATGAAAGCAGTGCCGGAGAAAAGCAAGAAAAAGAGGACAGTGATATATGTGAAGAAGGTAGTTTATAAAGAGAACGTTAGGTTTGAGAAGAACAAATGGAATGTTACTATGATTGATGATGGGATGAATTCAACCATTGTTACTTGGAATCTTAATGTTGTTGATGGGACTCCCACATTCTCAACTGCAACATTTGGTAAGTATTCTTCAACTATATATTCGCTTCATTCGAATAATTTATAAGTAAAGCTATGACCAAATTCAACTTTAGGTTGTTAAAAAATTTGTACTCATTATGTTTTAGGGGTTGTTTGTTTGGCTATGAATGTTAAACCGTTCAGCATTCAGCATGTTTGTTTCTCACATCTGAATGATTCAGTGCTGATTGATTTAACAAAATAATATTGAATGATTCAACATCAAAGTACATTCTGAATCATTTAGAGCCATAATAAAACAACATATCACATTCAAAGCTAATTCATACAGAGTTCCTGAATTATTCAGCATTTGAATCATTCAGCACTTAATCATTTTGAAGTAAACAAACAGCCCCTTAGTTTGATATGATCTTATAATATCATGTTTTATTTAAATAAAATTGATATTTAGTTTTTTAAAAGTTTGTTTGAGTACCTTCTTATATTTTACATATTATTATACAGAAAGACTAGAGTATAAGGTAGGAATTACGATATTAAATTAAATTCTATTTTAATTTTAGAGGTAAGATTTGAGCAAAAAAAAATTTAGTTTTACACTTCGCGAAGATCATTGGACGAGTAAAAATAAACAGCTGAGATTAACAGTAAAAAATAGAAAATATCTAATAAAAAATATAATGAGATAATTTCAATCATCCATTCGCGCTCATCCAATAATCTTAAAAAAATGTCAGACGTCAGTACATCATAGCTCTTAATTTTATGTTATTAAATCAAATAATGAAATATTTTCGTCAATTATTTTTATATTAAATTAAAAATACTATACAAAAATTTTAAAAATATCTTAAATTAGGTCGAGTTAGAATTATAATTTTAATTAAATTTTTGAACTAAATTAGAGCCACATAAACTATTTTTAAACTGAAATTAGATTATGGTTAAATGTTATTATTATAAAATTGA